TCATAGAGCTTTGCAGAGCGGTAATGCCAGTAAAGTGCCAAGCATTCAACCACCTTGCGTGGATGTGCACGCAGCTCCCATGCAGGGATGCGTTCGCAAGATCCGTCCGCGAGGGTGCACCAAAAAGCATTGTAACGCTGGTGCGAAGATTGCAAGGGCAAGATGCTGATGCGTTGGATGTCTCGCTTTTTGGTGCCATGCGGAACTGACGTGCAAGCAGACTGGGCGGAAAGGAGCGCACGTACATGTGTCAAAGACAATGGAAGCATGCCGAAATGGCAGTGTGTGCAAGCCTCGCAAGTCGACTCATCTCATCGCCTATGTGCAGCCAATGGCTGCCCGGCTGTCCATCTCCAAGTTAGGGAGTGCCGGCGCAGCGCATTATTGCCAAGGAGGCTTTGCCTTGCGTGCGGTGGCGCATGCAGTGCCTCACGCGGTGCCTTGTGCTTCCTGCCTTGTAACCCTGAGGCCTGCCTGTGAAACAGGCAAAGCCTTGCCCACACCACTGGAGTCAGCATCAAGCTCCAAAACCGCCCAGCGCATCGCATGCCAACCATGGAGCAGTACCACATTCTCTGTATTGGAGGACCCAGTTCAAACAGTTCAATCGCAGCGGGAGGTGCTTTGGCACGGCCCCTTGAGAATTCCTTTTCTGACAGGGCAGCACTTTTGCTTAGAACGGGTTTGCTTCGCGGTCCCCGAGGTCCCCGAGCTGGCTTCGCCGGTGCTCGCAGAACTGATGTCGCCAGCTGCCCCTTTTCCGTCAAGGCCGTTAAGGTCCCCATCGACCGGGTGCTTGCCAATCACGGGAGTCGTTTGCATGGTGCCACACCCGTTGTTGGCGTTGCGATCTTCGGGTGCTGTACACCCGGTGCAATCCGCGCGCCGGCCCCAAAAGCCTGCATGCCTGCGCGATGTCCCGTCGCCCACTCCAACTCTCCAAATAATGGCACGATAGATTGAGGTAGCTTTCACCCCGATTTCCACTGCACCATGCTGCAGGCCCCCGCAAGGCCTGAAGCGAGGCATTCATTGCTACACCGGGCCAACAGTAACCTCAGCAGCCAAGCATCAGCGCAGGTCTGACAGTGGGACTTCGCTTGGCTGGAAAGTGGGTTACGATGCCCTCTCCGCACGCACACTTGCGGCAGTTTCTCTGATGCTTTGAACCTCTTAAAGGGGAACGAGGCATGGCTGGAGAGTGGGTGCGCGCCGGCTCCAGCTGCGTCGCACATGTGCAAGTCCTCACCGAGCTCACCAAAACCGGCCCGCGTTGGAGCCTGTGCTCCTGAGTGAAACCGCGACGGGCAGCGGTGGGTCTTGCCAGCTCGCGAGGCAGCTTGCGTCACAGTGATGCCGGGTACGGGTGCGTAGGACGTGCAGCAGGTTGAATTGAGGTCAAGCCTCGCTTCGCAGCTGTGCATACATGGCTCGGGTGGCACCTTCATTTGACCCTGCGCAGGCTCTGGTGTGCCGGCTTTGAGGTGGGTGACTCGGTTCCGAAAAAGAGCACTTCGGCACTTCATGCGAAGCTGTCCGTCAGCCTGCTACCAGTGTGTCAAGGATGTGCCAAGGAGAATTGACCGTGAGCATCAAGACTTCTTAAGTCACTCATGCCACTCCTGCCACTCCTGCCACTCCAATCACTCGATTCGTGCCATCGGCGCTAAGTTGAGGACGCGTGCCGTCAGGTCCCTCAGATCCCTCAAGCCACTCTCCAGGCCCAATTCTTACAAATAAGAAACAACATGCGGCCGGTCCCTATGACAGTTGCAAGTCACCATGTGAGGCTGCCAATCGTCCAGCAAATTGAGCGCCCTACTGGAAGTGTGGATCACTGTTCAACTGCCTGGCGGTCAGTTCTGCGTACTCAATCTCGATGCAAAATTGTCAGAACATCTCAGAACCTCAAAGCACGAAATCCTCCCCCCTTGGGGCATGCGTGAGGCAAGAAGTGGCCAAGCCCCCCCTGTAACCTCAGTCCACCGACCCGATCCCTAAAAGGTAGCTGCAGATGGCTGGACATGTCCCTCATGTCCTTGTCAGCGCGCACCGCCTCATTCCCTGCTCTCCCTGTTCTCCCCGCTGTGATCCCGTCGTCTATGCCTTCTGGCTCGCTGCTTCGGGGTTCACGGGGTTCAAGACTCAAACGGAACATTTGTAACATTAGCGTGCGTCCAACACTCAAAATCACAGCTCCGAGGGCATGCTTGCCGTGTTGTCTCTCGATTTCAAAATCCGCCAGCGGCGAAGCTGGCCGCTCCCGAAGCTGGTCAGCAACCTTAGCTTCAAAGGCTCCATGGTCGTGAGCGTGTCGATGCCACTTGCTCTCAGGCACGAAAGGACTTCCTGAAGAGCCATGCGTATGTTAACGGCCTGTAGCTTGAACAAGTGATGCCATTTAGCGCTGCTAGTCAAGCTAGTCGCCCAGGTATCAGTTCGCATGGTCCGGGAAGGTGACCATGCCGTCAAAAGTGCTGCAAGCGCATCTCGCACAGGTCACTCTTCATGGCTCCGCCAGGGCCGCAACAAGCCTGACAAGCCGTCCCAATGTCCTTCGTCCCCGTGGACCTTGAAAAGCTTCCTCGCGCCCTGCAGGGGCGCCTCAAAGCTCAACAAAAAGCTATAGACTCGAAGTGCTCCAAGTCTCTCACCGAGGCCGCTCTCCGCCGTTGGTCCCACTGTTCCCGTCCCCAGCATCGCTCCTGGACGTTCTGACAGTTCTGAAGCATCCGCCGTCGGGGCCAGCGTCCAAGCTCTGGCTGCGCAGTTCCAAGCCGACTCCTTGGCCATGCCGGGAGCATGACGCTTGCGCCTCTGGCGCCTCTTGCGCCGCTTGCGCCCCGTGTTCGCGATGTTCGCCTTCACCTGCTTCGCCGTCGCGGGAGCTTGGCCTTTTGCCGTTCAAAGCATCTTCCTGTCCGCGCGTGTGCGGTGCTTCACAATGCCATAAAGGCGCAGCGACCACCAGGCCGACATGGAGTGAAGTTCTGACGGATTCTGAAGGGTTGATGGACACATGCATGGAAGTTGCGCTCCTGGGTGCCGTGAGGCCGTTCGAGCAAATCCATCCTTTCCCCTTTTTGGAAGGGGCGAGTGTGATTTCAGGTGGCTTCAGTCCAGGCACCTCCAAGCCAGGTCGAGGAAGAGAGCTGAGCACAGGGAGAAGGAGGCCTAAGCCAACCACACACTCGATTCGCTCGATGTTGCAGCCATGACCTCGTGCCATCAAGCCTTCGCCTCCTTTGCCTTGATTTCTGCAACAGCTGTCGGGAGCAGAGCTCCCAAGAGCGCAGGGCGTACTTACCCGAGATACCCGAGTTACCCGAGTTACCCGAGTTCCCTGAGGTGCCGCCTCGCAGGCTTGGCACGGTGCGATGGTGACAGCCGTGCTCGTAATCAATCTGGCCAACCCTACGGCCCTGTGGTCTCTTGAGGCCCTTACTGGGGTGCTCACCCAACAGGCGGAGAAAGTTGGGAAGAGCACAGAAAGTCAGACGGACTCCGTTGCCAAATCACCACCCGAGGGCCCTCAATCACACCACCGGTGGCCGCAGGCTTCGCCCCTTCCATGTAACCGCACACGACGTGACGCTGTACTGCCGCATGTCCCTTTGGCAACAGAGGCATGCTCTTTGTACAGTGCGCCGTTCTGCGCGCCGGCCCATTGTTGGCTCAAATGTTGTGGACACAGTTGCGGGGAAGCCTTTCCTGCACCACGTTCGAGACTTGCTCTTCATCCAGAGAGACGTTCCGCAGTTTGATTTGCACGACATCGCCATGCACAGTCACAATCAGGGAGCGTGACCGCTGCAAAGCTTCTTCGACCTCATGAAACGGGTGCGACGGCAATCGCCACCATCCAAATTGGCAACGTCGGGCCAAGAGGATTCGAGGCTGCGGCATTCTTCCAGCTGCCCAGGCAGTACCCTCTTTGTCCCTTGCAGTAGCTTCCTTGCGTGGCGTTGCTGTGTCGTTTGCTCTTTCTAAGTCGGCCCTTTGCACGACTCTTGCACAGCGATGCGCTCGGCGTCCCGCCAGGAGGGAGGCTGCCAATCGCCACAAAGCAATTCCGAAAGCGCATTCGAAGTTGCTGGGCGATGTGCGCTTGAGACGCGCGGCCTTCAAGCTAAAGCACCGACACTTGCGGCCGATGTGCACGGCAACTTGGCACCCCATCAGGCCCATGGGACCTCAATGAAGGCCGTGAGCCGTGGTGTGAGCCGTGCGAACTCGGAGATGATCGATACGAAGGGGACTCTGAGCCAGCTTTGCCAGCTTACCTCGGAGGTGCATTGCAAACTTTGCAAACTCAGGGTTCTGGAGCCGGACAGCGTCTCAAGTCTCGAGTCTGACAGTCACATGTTTGGAACTCTGGACACCTTGCAGACCTTGCACAGAGATCACAGAGCCGATCCTACCTGCTCATCTTGCTCGGCTTCTCAATCTGGCCGCTGGCCCACGATGCCCATGTAAGCATTCCCAGCACTTTGAAGTCCAGGAGCAAGCATGCAAAGTATGCCTTGCCAACCTTGACTCGACAAGTAGCCTTGCAGCACCGAAGATGTGGCACAGGCGCTTGTGATCTATCTGGGCCTGGCATGGGAGTAGCCAATGCGTGTGGAAAATGCGGCAAGCTGAATCTGCATCTTGATCATCTTGTCCCACTCCAGCAGGGCGCTTCCTTCTTGCGCAGAGGCGGCGCACGTGCCATCTGCGCAGCGCCAGGCGGGCCAGGCGGGCCAGGCTCGAAGGCGCATCAGCTCGTTGGAGCCCTTCTGGGCGAGCCTTGTTAGATGCGGGCATCTTCGGCACGCGTGCTTCCGCCTGACAAAGTTGGGGATGGCCGTCCCCGAGGCCCTGCACCGCATATGCCGCATATGCCTTGTCTGTCGTCATTGTGCCAGGGAAGGCCCTTACCTGACACTTACGTGAGGCGGAGCATGGCAGAGCTGAGGAAGAGCTGAGACTCGATTTCTGATGCATCGCCTTGCCTGGCAATGCTTGGCTACAGTACGGCAGATGCAAAGGCTGCAAGAGCCAAGGCTGCAAGAGCCAAGGCTGCAAAAGCCAAGGCTGCAAAAGCCAAGGCACGTCGCGACACCCGACACTGCGACAGCATAGAACGGGCCTCCTTCGCCTTGCCCACGCGGGCCCCGGCGGCGTTGCCGGGGATGCCCACGTTGCAGGTTTGGCGGCGCGAGCTCCGGGGGCTCTGCATGGACTTAGCCGAGCTTGGCATTGGCCAAGGGCAGAGGACTGCACGAGACACTGCCCGGAGAGGCGCAAGAGAGGCTCGGAGAGGCTCGGGAGTGCAGGCCATGGGGCCATGGAGTGGCCCCGGAGCAGCCCTGAGCACTGCACCGTGAAGACTCGGGCATCCTCGGGCCAGAGGTGTTCGTGCTGCCTCCGCCTCATCAGCAGTACACCACTGTTTCGCAGTGTTTCCCCCATACGGCGGCCTTTGAACGCAGCCCCGCCTCCCAGTGTGACCTACGCATGAAGAGCATGCTACCCACGCAGTGGACATTTGCAACAACTTTGCCATTGAAAAAGGCTGTGCGCTGTGGATCTTGCTCGAAACAATTGGAAACCTGAAAGGCGGTCTGCAGGATTCTGCAGGCGGTGTGCATGTTGCATGTCCGAAGCGCGAGGCTGGTAGCACAGCTTGGGTATTCACGTCCAGCGCTCCTCCAGCATGTCGTCATTCAGTCATGATGCGGGAGCTGTATCAAAATCGAACGCCTAATTTTTCCAATCCTTGAGCTATGCATCCTTTGAAACAAAAATGTGTGCTAGGGCTGGGTTGAGCATGAATGTGCCACGATCCGGAACTGAGATGTTTTGTGCCGCAGAGCTGCACCTGGTTCGACGCGGCGGTGCTTTGGCAGCATTGTGTGCACTTCTTTTTTGTTTCTGCCCGCCTCAGGGATACTCGCAATGGCAAATTTGCACAGTTTCGCAGACTGACACCAGCAATTCCCCAATCCCACCCGAGTGCAACAGGTCTTCTTCGAGATGTGAGCGTTCAAGTCAAGCACATAGTATTTGCAAGCAGCACTGTTTGAAAAGAGGCTTGCCGCGCCTGATGCGCAAAGGAGTCCGGTGAGAGCCAAGAGAACCAAGAGAACCAAACCAGGCAGATCACAAGCGGTTCTTTGAGACCGGCTGCAGCTGTCAACCGAAACTACCGAGGGGCTAATACCAAGTCCATGTACAGGCCCAGCTGCAGCAGACCGATGATTGCACGCGTCCTAAGGCCAAGTAAGCCAGCTAGTCACCTCACTACCCTCACGCCAGAGTAAGCCGGGAAGTGTAGTCAACTTGGTGGGGGGGTGGGGTGGGGTGGGGTGGGGTGGGGTGGGGGGAAGAGCATCAGACGCTGAGTTACGTGTAAGTCATGTGCTTGTATGTGCCATCTCGATTCGTGTCCTCCCTCTTCAGGCGCACAAGACATGTCCACCCAGGCCTTGCTCGTGAGCGTAGACATATAGATCTTGCATTGATGGCTGTGAATTTGCTGAAAAGTGTCTTTGGCGTCCCTTCTTGAAGCACTCGCCTCGAACTTTCTCATGCTCAAGGAATGGATCTTATGGCCTAGGCTTAGGGCCACCTTGCGCTGAGCGCATGGCTCCAAGCCATGCCCATGAAACGTGCCACGACATGCACGTTGGCAATTCCTACGCCGGAGACACGGCCCGCAAGCAGAGGAAGCACACCTTCACGAACACCCTCTCGGGGATCGGTGCGAGTACGAGAGTTGCGAACAAGCCTGTCCTTCACTTCGACACCCCGAAGCTCCCCTTCACCCAAGCCAGAGCGGGAAGAGCGGATCGAGGGCTCCCAAGGTGTCTCGCATCTCTCCCAAGGTCTCTCCCTCCCTCAGCTCAGCCTCCGTCCGAGCCGTCCTGAGCGCTCTGTCGGTCGGCTTCAGACGTGGGCCGGCTCGGAGACACAGAGTGGGCCTCGGGAGGAAGGCCAGCAGGCAGGTGGCCAAGGAGGCCCGGGAGGCCAAGGGGCCGCGCTGCCGCGGCCGAGCACGGCTCACGGCGCCCACGGAGGTCAGGGAGGTCACGGAGCCCAGAAAGCCCATGACAAGTCTGGCAAGTTGGAGCTCAGCGAGGCTTTCGAGGGCTTGTGGCGCGCGCGGGCCTCTGCCATTGACAAGCAGCGCGAGGCGGACGGAATGTTCATGCGCCCAGTGACCCCTCAGGAGCATCTTCTTAAATTATTGTCTCCGAAAAAAGAGAGAGCCACAAGCAGTGCACACAGTGCACATGCCAACACCACCGAGGAGAAGGAGTCAGCCAAGTCGGAGAGTGATGCGAGCCCCCCAAGCCCACCAAGCCCACCAAGCCCCACAAGCCCGACAAGTTCCGGAAGCCTTGCAAGCCCGGCAAGCCCGGCAAGCCCGACAAGCCCGAAAAGCCCGACATCGAGAGGCTTTGGCCATGGCTTCAGCAGGACCTGGGGTGGGAGGCGATCAGGTGCCACGGGCTTCCTCTCACGGTCACCACGACCTTCGGCATCAGAGCCTTCGGAGCCTTCGGGGCCGATCAAGAGAATTCGCAAGCTGGGCGAGGGAGAGAAGATCTTCGACTTGTATTATTGGGAGAAGGTGCTCCAGCAAGAAGGCGACGGCGGCAAAGTAGTCGTCTGCCGCCCCAAAGACCAAGCAGATGAGGAGTTTAAATTCGTGATGAAGATCAAAAGCAAGGAATCACTTCGCGAAGATCTGCACGAGGAAGAATTTGCGCGAGCACAGACACGGCTCCTGAATTTTCCCCCACATCCGGGTGTAATTCGCTTGAGGGAAGTCCTGGAAGACGAAACGTTTTACTACGTCGTCATGGACAGGGCTTCTGGCGGTCCTTTCTTCGAGTGCCTGCTTCAGGACACGGGAGCAAGACTCAGTCGCACGGTTGCCACACGTCGGTCACATGTCAGTCACGTGTAACACCGGTCACCCACTGTTTGATAACGGCATATAACGGCTGAACTGAAACTCTGCGGTAGGGCCTGTCTTGGCAGGAGTACACGGATGGGAACATGCCGCCCGGCGCTGTTTCCAACGTGGCCAGGGATATCTTGGCCACATTGTGTCATCTCCACAAAGAGGGCATCCTCCACAGGGACATCAAGCCAGACAACTTAGTCATGCATTTACAGGACGACCCTTTGACGGGAAAGAAGTTGCAGAAGGTTGCACTCATTGACTTTGACCACGCGGATGCAGAGTTCACTCCCCACGCGAGGAATCATGCTAAGCATTGCTATGGCACTGCGCGGTTCAATGCTCCAGAGGCCTTCCTAGGATTGTACTCTGCGTCCACTGACTTGTACAGTGTTGGCGTCATTGTCTATCTATTGTTGACTGGAACTATGCCTTACCCTTCTGACTTCTTCGAGTTCCCGGACCTGAGTCCGAAGTCGCCTGCGGCAAACCGGCGTTGGATGGAAAACGTCGTCATCCAGATGCAGGGCCACTCGGTGGACTGGAGCCACACGACTTTCAGAGAGATACCCCGCAGCAAGGACTTCTGCCAGAGGCTGCTGGCCTTTGATCCAGCCGAGCGCTTCGGTTCGGCCGCCGAGGCGTTGCAGCACACCTGGCTGAAAGCAGGGGAAGGCTTGGAAAAGCCATGAGAAGCCATGAGAGCATTAGAAGCATTAGAAGCATTTAGAATCCACCACAAGGGCTGTTTATGCTGTTTATCAGAATTTACGCATGGGCCGGAGCCCGGCGCTGGGCATGGTTACATTCTTACTCAAAGCGTCTTTTCCTTCGCTCCCACCTTCAAAGGAGTGACGGGAGTTCCTTTTTGTGTGCAGAGCAGGCACCGCCCGAGGGAAGTCCAAGTATAGTCCAATGACATGATTATGGGGGCAGAGTCTTGAGTAGTCTTTGAATAGGCGCAGCTATAACTTCAAAGTGCGGCGGATGCCATGCGTCGAAAAGTTCCAGGAGTGCCCGTTTCAGTTGTGGCAAAAGACGGTGAGTGGCAAACTCCAAACGGAGTTGGTCAGGACTGTAGCTTGATGGCTGTGAAAAACGGTTGGTCATGTTGATGCTTTGCTTTTGAGCTCTTGGCTTGTGTTTCATGACTCGGAAAGAGCCTTAAACACCTGGTGAAGTGTAGGGATACTCGGTACACTGACAAAAACTGCCAGGATTCGGATGGGATTCTCCGCGCCTGCCGCCGCGGGGGCGGAATCCGACCATGCCTCAGGAAGCCTCAGAGAATCTGAAAGAGTCATGGAGATGTGGAGATGTGGTTTTTGGGGCTCTTTCGGGGCCTGGGCAATGGCCTGGGCAATGGTGAACACACTCCCCGAAATTTGCACCGATACCGAGAAATCCTCTGAGAGCTGAGGTGCGGACATCCCAGACGGATCTTTTCTCTGAGACAGGCACCGCACAAGCGCCAGAAGCGCTTGCCACTTGTGGAGCGTGCTCTGCTTGTGTCCTTAGATCCAGGAATGGAAACTTGAGGAGCGGTAAGTGCAGCTCGCAACTTGTGACCAGCGCACTGCGCAGACTGCGCAGCCCCCCCGTCGGGCTCAAGAGTGTCTCGGCCAAAGTTATGGGAAAGCGGATGCCGAGTTAAGATGCCGCCGAGTTTGCCAAGACGACGGAATGCATGGGACTGTGGGGGCCTCGGTGATGGCTGGGCCCATGCCCACACCATCCAACATACAACACCGAAGACTCCCCTCCCCCGTGCCACATTGCGGGGCTTTCTCAAGTTGTTTTTGGGAGGAGAGAGGGAGGAGCGAAAAACGGGCAAAGAAAGGGAGGGAGAAGAGTCTGACAAGAGAGCAGAGAGTGCTAAGGTCCACCCTCGAAGCGGCAAGTGGTGACCATTGGTATCTGCATCGGGAACGCTGTCGCATTTGTGATGTTCCTCTTCCCACTTTTGTATGAGCCCTATCGACTTCTTTTCAGCATCATCTTCGGCTTCTCATTTGTGCTGACGGCAGTTTTCGGGATCTTCACCATGACGGTGGACCCGATGGATCTCAATGTTTCACGAGCTGAAGAGGGGTTGCAGCCAGAGCATGATGCCATGGCCTATTGCAAGAACTGCCGGGTGAACGTGCAGCTGGATTCGAAACACTGCTGGGATTGCAACAAATGTGTCTCAAATTATGACCATCATTGCCCATGGCTGAATACATGCATTGGAACCCGGAATTACTTCTATTTCTACGTATCGATTTGGTCCCTTCTCGTAATGCTTGCGACAAGCTCCACGGCTGACGTCTTGGTCATTGTGGAACATGCCAGGGACTCGACCAACGCGCTTGGTCTCGGCAGTGTACTGGTTTGGCTCATCAGCATCATCTTGGCGCTGGTGGATATTCCACTATGCTTCTTAGATTCGACACTCGTGGCGTTTCATACGTACCTCTGTGTCCTGGACATCACCACGTATGACTACCTGACAGGGAAAACTTCACAGAAAAAAGCCAGGTGGAAAGAGCAACGGGAGTGCGAGACGCATGAGGGCAGGGAAGTGCAGCGAAGTGACCTCGCTGTGCGAAACCGCCGCATGCTGGACGCTGTACCGCACTTCGGTGGCGCCCCCGCGCCCAATCGGCGCGGCTCTCGGTTGCTTAAGGGGTTGTTCCATATCTTCTCTATCAGGGTTCTCATGTCAGGGGCTACAACAGTTAGGCTCTTGACTCTTGATATCAACGACGGGGTCATTCAGCTCCTTCGCAACGAAAGTGAAGGAGGGACCCCATTGGACCCCTTCGCCGAATGGCCAATGGCAGTGTCCTGCTTGACATCTAGCGAGCGTGGACGGGCATACATGATATGCACTAGTTGTTCATGCTTGCGGGCACCGATTCGGCAGCCCGACCCAAGGCCGAGTATCTTTGAGGGGTCTTAGATTGGTCCAGAGTTCCAGGAAGTCCCAGGAAAGGGTCCCACGGGGGGGGGGGGGGGGGGGGGGGTTCCAGGGGAAGGAGAACATTTGGCCGGAGGCCGAGGCGAATAACATCATATACAAGCCTGCTGAAGGCGGCAAAAATCGGAAAGAGACGAGTGTTTCGAAGCAATTCTTGGAGAGGCTTCGACACTGCAGCTCCACCTGTTAACGCTGTTGAACTAGCAGTTACTACAGTATGATGCCCAAGGCTGCCCAAGGCATGGCCCTGTACTTCCAGTAGAGGCAAACAATGTACGGACCAAGGCGACCAGACAAGGAGGAAGAGCTGGAGGATAGTTCAGTTTCCTCTTCTGCCGAGTCTTCTGACGGCTCCTACTCCGAAGGCAACGCTTTGCCGACAGGGTTCGGCTTCTTTGCGCTCGGGGATTGGCTGTTGATTCTTAAGTACTTTACATAAAGCACAAATTAGTATAGTACGTGCTGTGCCGAAGGCTCTTAACTTGCTAGATGATGTGGGGGGGGGGGGGGGGGGGGGGAACAGGGAAAGCGGAGCGGTTGCAGGTGGTGGCGCGGTCTTCCGCAGTTTCGTCGCACAGGAGGGCGACACCGAAGTGAAGAAGGAAGTGAGCAACTTCGTGTTTGGTTCCTCCGTTAGGGAGGTGGAGGAACCCCAGATGAGTCCCACACCGACAATTCCGGCAGAGTTATCACTCCGTGCGAACGTCGGCAGAGACAACGCGGTCTGAAGGAGTCCAGCTCTTTTGCAACAGTTTCACCCCGGTGTCATGCCAGGGGCATGTCGCAACAACCCTATGTCCACGGCCAGCAAGGGTGCATGCGTTCCACTTCTTTTGCTCAAACTTTATAAGAAACCCCCAAACCGAAACGAACTCCCTGTCAAACCTTTTTGTCTTAAAGATCAGCCATCGTCAAGTTATCTTTTTGTGAGCTGCACGTTGCTTTGTGCCGTGGCGTTTCGTGGAGACTCATGTCATGCTTTCCGCTTGTCGTGAGTGAGCAGGACGATACAAGCGTGCCTGACTTGAAAATGCATTGCTGAACTGCAGAATGTACCAGAGTCCACGGATCCCCCGAAAGCGAGGAAACTGACACGGAAAAAGAAACATGATGCAGACCATGGAAGGTGTGTCCTGGGTATGCAGAATTGTCCAAAGCTCAGCAAGCTCGAAAGCGGCTTAACACAAAGTCTGGGGGCTCCAACAGCGGCACACGGAAGTACGTTTTTGACCTGTCAGGCTGCTCGCAATGTTTCACTTGGGCTTCGCTTGACTTTGATTACAGTCTTTACGCAGGCCTAGATTTGGAGCAATGCTACAAAGATGCCCACACTTGGACACACATGCGATTCAGAGCTACCCACCTGTCAGGAGTCAGAAGCTGTGAAATATCTCGACTTGTGAACGCAGTACGTGGAATCGTAGATGCGGTTTGCAAGGGCTGCAAGGGGCTGAGAGGCGCGGTATCGTCCTGCCCAGGCCGCGAGAAAGGCCCCCGCTTGGACTCGCAGCGCTTGGACACTTCAGGCGCAGCTCTACCAGTTGAAAAGCAGTAGTGGCTGAGGAGCGTCTCGCGACTTCATTTGGTGGATTTTGGCGATGTCTGAACAGCACACTCTTGACCATGCGGTGCTACGCGACCCACCGGCAGAGGTGGAGAGTAGCCGAAAGCCGGGGATTGAGGGGGTTGGGGACGGAGACGCACATGAGACATTTTCGATCTGTCACCCCACAATCCTGATGCACCGAGTTGCACCGTCCGCTCCCGGATGCCTGTGGGGGGGGGGGGGGGGGGGGGAAGTAACGGGTGTCTTGGACGCTTGAGATTGTTCCCGAAAACCTTTCTAGGGTTGAGTTCTCGTTTCGCGCTTCAACACGGAAGGCGCGCTATCGGATCGCGTTCTGACGAAAGGGGCCATTAAGAGGAGATGGTCAAAGGAGGAGGGTCGGACGGAATACTGGGGTTGGCAGAAGCTTACATGCAGCAAGCGACATCGGCCCCTAGTCCCAAAACTGTGAACCCCTAAACCCCAAACTCTAAACCCTAAAAACCCTTTTATGGTTCATCCGCCCAATATTTGCCGAATTGCCGCGAGGCCAGCCTATAAGAGCTGCGAGCGCAGTCCCCGCGGCAGCTTGTGACTTTTGATGGGAGGCCGCGGAGACGACGCAGCCAAGGGAGAGGGGTCGGAAAATTTTGCTGGGAGAGGATGTGAGCGCGATGTGCGAGGACAATGAGGGGAGAGCACGGACGGGTAGCGTGACATTCGGTTGATAAGCTAGGGAGTGTGGGGGATACATGTGGACAAGACAAAGCGCGATGTATCCGGTTGAAGGGAAGGGTGTAATTGATAAACGCTTGCGCGGAGGGCGGAGGGGGGAGGGTGGGGGGGGGGGGGGGGGGGGTACCCCCCACGTGGGGGGGCGGGGGGGGTTTTGAGGCACTCTCCCTGTAGGAGCCACCGACAGGCAGGACCCTCCACGGCATCGGTTTGCAGCTCCTCCAAGCAATTGGGGGTCGCGTCACAAAATTTTGCATGGGGGGAAGGGTTGGGTTAGGGGGAAGGAGGCCCGATCCGGGTCTGCTTGTTCCAGAAGGCTTCTCGGCAGGAAGCCGAGGCGAATTATATAATGAGGGCCTTCTGCACCCTGCGAGCCCTCAGCCATTCGCGCGCCCCCCGCGCGCCTTCACGCGCCCCCCGCGGGCCCTCCGTTCGCCCTCCCCGCGCCCTCCCCGCGCCCTCCCCGCGCCCTCCCCGCGCCCTCCCCGCGCCCTCTGCGCTCGGCGCATTGCGTCTATGCTGCGGGCGCGTTGCGTCTATTCTATGGGTGGTTCCTTTGTAAACGATATGTTTACAAGGCACGCACGTGCAGCATAGCCTCTAAGTGTACATCTTACGGGGGGTCTCCATTCAACGCAAGAACCAGATAAACAAAAACCGAAGCTTCAAAAGCAAAAACATGTACTTTCTGCTGAAGTGTGTCAGGGGGTTTGCAGGACTTTGCACAAGCCAATGCCATGCCCCGTTTCCTTTCCGCTTCCCTCCGCTATGACTTGGCATGTGTGTTTCTCACTTGTAGAAGCCCTGCCCTTTCTGGCGCAACGTTCTGTCATGCAGCCGCTGCGTGTGTCTCACTTGTCGAGAGAAGACGATTTCCCGCACCAGCACTGGGCGCAGGCTGTAAAGGGCCAGGCGGGTGACATCGGGTGACCTCAGTATGCCGCATTGCCCCCGGGGAGAGAGACATGTGTTCAGACTTACTGTCTCGTTTGTGCAGACAAAGTTGCTCAGACATCCTCTTGAGGTTGGTTTGCCGGCGCTGAGAGAGGTGGCGAAAAGGAACTAAGGAACACCTCAGCCGAGCCAGTTCACAGGCTCAGAGCGTTCTCCCCGTGTTGATCGCCACTGCAGGACCGGCTGAAAGGCCGCAGAAAGGCCGCAGCCCCGAATTTGAAGGGCTTGCGTTTGGCTGTTTTTGGTGCACATGACTGGAATGTGCTACTTGTTGAATTGTAGCCATGTTTGCTATCTTTGCGCAGCCGCTGGGGCTGGCGAGCACGCAGAATGATTGGGGCAGCTCACTTGTCTCACTTCTCCGGGCTAGCCCGGGCTGTGGGCCGCGATGAGTGCCGATGACAACGACGAGCTTCCTGATGGCTTTGACTTCGGTGGAGAGTTCGGGGATGACTTGGGCGACTTGGGGGGCGATATGGGGGACTTCGAGGAAGCACCTCCACCAGTGGAGCAAAATGCCAAGGGCGTTACTCGATTTCAGATGATCGAATACCTGAGCCAGCGCGAGTGGCAGGGTCCTGAGTTTCAGCGGGGTGCTTTAAAGAACTGGTGAAAAGTGCGCCTATCAATGAGCTGAGTGGGTGAAAGAAGGCGTGAGGTGCCGGGCAGTTTTAAGGGGGGAAGGTGCATCTCTCTGCGTTTTCGCTCAGGTGGAGGAGAAGTCAGTGCAGGTTGGGTTTCACCACCGTCTTGTGGGTGATTTTTGCTTACTTGGCCATCGTCAGATCCAATGTCACCCAAGCATACAAAGTGCAAGAAGCCGTGGTCAGCTACGTGGAGGGCATCATTTCCCATCCGGGCATCAGTGGTGTTCGCTTGCGCACGCCGGCCGAATCCAACATGCCCCAACCTCAGCTCAAGCACATTCCAGCACCAAGTAGATGGAAATTAGGGCGTTTGCGCACTACACTGTCAGTAGACCCGCCGGCACCTTCCAGTCCCTTTTCCCCCACGCTTCCGAGACAAAAGACTGAGGCCCTGTCGTTGTGGCTGTCGCCACATCGGGGGCTTTCCCGCCACCTCGTGCACCGAAGACAGTCAGACAGAGGCCTTTGAGTTCCTGGGCCGGCTACCCGGAGACAGTGCCGACCGATTGGTGGCAGCGACGGGAGGCTTCTACCCGATGGGATCTCAAGACATGGAGCCCATGACCTGGGGTCGCATTCGAACCGCCGAGGACGTGATGGTATGGATGGAGCACGGCTTCTTGCCCAATGTTTGGGGCACTGTCGCAGGGAAGGTCATCCGCCGTCCTGGCTTGATCTTGAATCGCAACCTGGTGGTGGGCGGTGTCCGTGCCCGTCAGTGGCGAGCTAACTTGGACCTGGCAAGCTGCAACTTGCCCGCTTCCTTAAGCAGTTGGTACACCGTCCTGTGCCGCAGCGCAGACGTGGCCATGGATCCCTTCGGACCTTTGGCGGATGTCAACTTCACACTCGTCGACCAAATGCCCACGGGCGTGCGGAACGCATTCCTGTCCTCCTCGTCAACAGAAGGAGCTTACGATGCACACTTCGATGTGGAGAGGCCCCTGAGGGATGCACTCGAGACAGCCACGCAGTTGCGACGAAGCAGCTGGTTGACGGAAGCAACGACCTCCTTGCAGCTGGAGGCCCTGATGCTCAACGGCGAGAGCGGTTCCTTTGTGATCCTCAGCATCACCTTTGAGTGGCTGAACGATGGGGCCATCACAAAGCGAGTGAGAAGCCATGTCTTCCGTGCGGTTCCAGGACAAGCCTTTGTGATGGACTTTCTTCCAGAGATTTTCTGGCTTGTCCTGATTCTACTACTCCTGAGACAAGAGCTTTGGGAAGTCCTCAAGATGACTTTCAAGCGTGAGCTTCGCAACTTGCCGGTTTGTTAGCCGTAGAAGGCAGAGATGAACTTAAGGGTTGCGTTCTGGGTTGTGCTCATGAAATGGGCCCAAGACGAAGGAACCTACTTGTCGAGCTACTGGAACTTGGTGGACTGGATCTCGATTGGAGTGCTCGGGCACGCAATGCTCTAGATGTGCCGACAGAAGCACAACTTGCAGCAATTGGCAATTGTCACGGAAGAATGCATGATTGAGAGCCCTCCTCAGAGTCACAGCCGCCCCTTGAGGTCGGAGTTGCTCTCGCTGTTTACTCTCTGTGGATCCAGGACATGCAGAAAAGAGCGGGGTTCTCGAGCCGTCCAGCATTCCGAAGATATCTCAGTTCTCCCTCACTCTCTGCCTCACTCTCTCTCTCTCTCTCTCTCTCTCTCTCTCGCTCGCCCTCTCCTATGGTCGTAAGAACCCTTCAACAGGAGTTCACCGCTGCCTTGGCAACGGGCGTATCGCAACTTCCACGTGCCCCACTGGCCTCTGGCTTGCAGACAGTAGGGGGTGAGTAGGGGGTGCGATTGGGCATTGCAGGGCCAACTCAAATAGGTTCAATCGTTTTCGGCTGCCCAATGCGAGGCCAGCGATCTCGATGAGATCGCATATCAGGGCAGGTGGTCCAAGAACATTGACGACGCCCACGCCATCGTTGTGATGCGGGGCTACTTTCAGCTCAGCCTCTTTTGGTATTCCTCCATCATTACAGCCAGAATGGTGAAAGGGTCCCTTGGCCAAGCCAAGCTCGCCATGATCCAGATCACTTTGGCAGATGGCTTCTGGGATGTGCTTCATTTCATGATGATTTTCCTCGTGGTCTTCAACAACTTCGCAGTCGGTGGAAAGATCTTGTTTGGTCCAGAGCTGGAGGGATGGTCGACATACCCTCAGTGTTGTGCTAGTGCCGTGATGATGCTGATGGGTGCTGCCAACTTTGATGAACTCTATGGCGTGGCTCCAATATCATCGACCATCTGGTATTGGCTCTTCATCTTAATGATGATGTTCCTTATGATGAACTTGTTGATTGTGATCGTCGTCGACCACTTTTGCCAAATCCGAGATAGCTGTGGCGACACTGCTGGGATTCTTCACGACTTGAAGTGGTCGTGGAAAGAGTTCCTCTTCAAAATCGAATGGCGCAGGGACCAGTTTAGGGAAGGTGAATACAAGGCCTGTTTCTTTGGAAATCCATACGAAGGCTTGCTCGAGGGCTTGATGCAAAATGCCAAAGCGGGAGAAGTCATGGAGAAGGCAGCCGCAAAGAATTGTCTGGCATTGCGGTTGAACAGGAAGAAGCTCGAGGATTTAAGCGTCGAAGCCCCGTCGGAGGATGCAAACCCAGGCTTCGGGATCGTCACGAACCTGGAGCTGCGCAAGATTGCATGTGATGCGGGCACCGCGCAGTTCTTGATCGACGGCTGTGAACATTTCGTGGCGTCGGAGAAGAGCACCCTGCACCTGGGAGTGTTAAACCAGGTCCGGAGCTTCGTAAGCTTGCTGAAGCAAAGCAAGGAAACCTTGGACTCCCACTGCAAGCTGATGGAGGAAGGGATCGTAGAGGATCAAGAGGAGCTGGAGCAGATCATGACAAGGCTCGAGGAGTCCGTTCAAGCAGCTTTCGAGGGATTCCAGGAGTTGGCTTCCACTGGAATCGATACTCTGGCGCCCCCGGCTTTGGGCCAAGGGGGTGAGATGAAGCAGGCCATCACCGACCTCAGGCAGACTGCCACAGCCTAACAAAGGGGGCCCATAACTAAAAAATGGCATCTTAAGCCTTAAGCAGCTTAAGCATCTCAAAACCCTTGAGCCTTCTGACACTTAAAGCAACGGTTCCCCCGTACTCTCTCCACCCCCCCTATACCCCCAAGAAAAAAGACAAACAGATGAGAGAGCAGTGTGGCGCAGAGCCGTGGCGGAGCTGCGGAGCTGCGGCCTCCCTTGAAAAGGGAGCGTCCGCCCTTGTCTCAGAGACCTCCGCTCCAGGCTCCCCCCTGCTTTTTTTTGAGGTGTTTCACTGATTCCACACGGGCCCCCGCCATGTTTCACGCCTCGACCGCGAGTGTCTTTCAACGTGCAATTCTGAATTTGGGCCGGAGAGGGATCCTTGGAGAAAATGCGAAGGTAGGCGCAGGGACTTCGAGAAGAGTGCAGCTTCGCCCTTGCCCTGTGTAAATGTGCGTGCCAACGGTGCAAAAGGTCTCCACCGTCTCCTCTTTCCAGCACAACCCGGCTGCAGGCCCGAGCCTCGCATTGCCTCGCATCGGAAGCTTCACAAAATGAGACACAAGGACACAACCCATAGTATCATGGCGGCCATAGCCAACTCCGTGGTTGACGCACCCTTCTAGCAAGTACCCACATCTTGCCGCTGGCTCTCTGTTGATGCAGGGGCAGCCCCCTGAAAAGGTTTCTGTTTCTCGTTCTCCATCTCCCGTGTTGGATCGGGGGTTTGGGGGTTTTTCCGAAATGCCCAAGCAGACGGAGCCCATGATGCTGTCATGCATATCACAGGGCTCGGAGGGAAGGGGGCTCGGGGCCATGGCCCTTTGCCAAATCCAGTCATTGGGAGGAGAAATTGAAAGGTTGGTGGGGGGGGGGGGGGGAGTGTCTGCAAGGTCTGGTAAGATCGTCGGCTTGCGCGCCACCCCAGGTAGGTGGCCGGGCCCCCGGGCCGAGTAAACATTCCAATCGGCCGGCCATAGATACCCAGAGGCGGAGTAGGGGGACGAGGGGGGGAAGGGTTTTGAGGGGAGGAGGGGCAGGAGGGGCCTCCAAAAAAAGGTTCCAAGGGAGGGGAGGCAAGGGACCCGAGACCTTGATGAAGCAATTCAACACATAGCCTTCATAATTTAATGTATAGGCTTAGGTATCCGCCACCTGGGGTCGTTTCCCAACAAGGGAAAAAGGTTGGATATTGGACCTTGCTTTTTCGGGATTTCGCCGCCATTTCGGATGTGACCCCTCAATAGGGTCTCGTTGCCGCGGCCCCTTCTGCCCCCTTGATTGCTCCGAACAGCCCCAGTTGAGTTCTGTTTCCAGCTTTACTAAGGGCGAAAAAGGGTCAATGACTCGATGTTGCGTTTCTTGTGCTTCCCATGGGCCGGTTGGGCGGCCGGCTACGCGGCCAATGCAGCCATACTGCCGCCACACTTGCACTGTGGTCGAATGGGCCGGTACCAGACGACCCACGAAGCAGCTCGAGTTTGGAGGCGCCTGGGTTCGGACAGCAATATGCGAGCAGACGTGACCTGTTGCAGCCTCGATAAGATCAGCTCTGTGCTGGAATACGCGACCCTGGTTTTGGACTTCAAGGTCAACACCATGCGCCAGCAGACGCTTTTCGCCAAGGATATTGAAGAAGGGCTCGGCCGCTCGAAATCTGAAAGCCCATGCCAGCCCTTAATGCAGGGCCGGTTCTCCGATCGCTTGAAAGCACTGCAGCAAACTGCCTTGCCGCTGGGGCTTGAAGGCATTGGTCTTCAACGTCAGGTTGTCCGCCTGACCTTGAGGCTTGGCATGGGTATATATGGGTATATATGGGTATCATGGGTATCATCGGTCTCGTTCATGTTTTCATGAACCGGCCTTAGCTTCGCAGCTTGTTTGGCTCCCCCTGGACAGGTCGCATTGCCTCCTGCATCGAAATGGAAAGTCTTGGGCTTTATCTTTGAAGGCACAGCGGAGGCATCTTCAGCGCATTGTCAAGCTACAAGTCTTATTGCGATCATCCGCAGCCGAGATCCGACAAAACGACGAGCAGTCAGCACGGTCTGCGCGACAGTCGGGGCTGCAGCAGTGCTTTCAGTTGCCACTGTTAGCTGCACAATCGGGGCTCGTGCTTGCAGATGTTGACACACGTGGACTGGCACACGACGTGGCATACCCCTTCCAGCGTCAAGTGGGGGAAGTGAGAACTTGGCACGTCTGGGTAGATCGGCACTCGATCTTGTTCTCACGGTACTTGGCCAAGCTGGTGTATCAGTTAAAAGCTTTGACAGCCAGCTTGGATTATTCTTTCCTTCAAGGCGTGGGCTCTCAAGTCTTCTGGGGTGGGGAGGAAATTCTTGAGCCGACGCCCACGTGGCGATGGCCAAACTTTGACCGTGGGCTGGTTGCGAACTCTGCGACCTCTGCAAGTAACTTCGCGGTGGCATTTCTGATGTCGAATCGCACCTCGCGTGAAGAATTGGAGGCAGCCTGGAGCGTTGGCCTATCGATTTTGCAGACTTCAGACGATTCAGAGTTGAAGGTTCTTTTCCTGGAAGACTCTCTCCGCAAAGCTTGGGAGACAAACTATCGGCCCGTTCACGCGGGAGAGCTTGCCATGCGAGCACGGAAGACTCCAAATGTCGAGGTCCTCTGGCGTCGGCATCAGGCGACTCTGAACAACATCGTCGTTGCAAGAGAGCACCTGGGCGAGAAGGGCGAGTTGCTGGGCGAGCAGCTGGGCGAGCAGCTGGGCGAGCAGCTGGGCCCGCTGCACCTGGCCTGCGTGGACCTCCGCTCCGGCTCCGGCTCCCGAACGGCGCCGGCGCCGGCCGTCCGGCGCCTCCCACAGCGCCTCGTGCGCTGGGCTGAGGTTGTTGGGAAGGACCCCCCGCAGAGCCCTGAAAGTCAGGGCAGCCTCACTTTCTTCCGCTTTCGCATGCGGTCAGACAGGCTAGAGCGGCAAGAGCGGCTAGAACCGAGACGTGCTGGTGGTGCCGAAGACTTCGAAGAGTTGCGGCGCCCTCTGCCTCCCTGGCGCGGACGCCAAGGCTCGCCCCCTTTCCTAAAGCCGTACTTGGACTTCCATCGCCGGGCGGTGCAAGCTTCGAGGTCTTCGCAAGGCTCCAGCAGCGTGAACGCAGTGAATACCAAGCCCCGTGCACTGGTGTACGTGTGCAACCCTTTCACACTGTGTGGCGGCCATGGCGACCGTACCAATGGCATCCTCTCCGCCTTCACACTGGCTCTTCTTACCTCGCGTGCCTTCTTTATTGACTTTGACTCCCCTCTTCCCCTGACACTGCTTCTCCAGCCGCGCGTCACTGGAGAAAGGGGCGAACCGGGTGAACCGGGCGAACTGGCTCTCGACTGGCGACTCCAGGGCTTAGGATCCATTGGCCAAGGGGCCCACTGCTTCTACTTGGACGATCGGATCTCCTTCCAGGAGGACTTGACATGGTTGCTGGAAGACCCCAGCCATATTCTGCATGTTTCGATGAACCACCGCGAGCTCAAAGCTCTCTTGGCCTCTCAGCCGATTTAGGGCGCCTGAGGGCTGTGATTTTGGCGATTCCGTCGGCTCACGCAGCTTTGGGAGATTTGAGGGTTTTGCTGCAAAGGGACCTTTGGCACTATTTTAAATAGTGCAAATTTTAGTACCTGTTGCATGGCAGCCAGCACCACGTCATGTCAAAATGCACGAAATCTCAGGCGCACGAGCTGCTGCAAAAGCAGGCCGAGCAGATGAACTTAAGGCAGGCCCCGCATCTGGCAGCAAGGCTTTGGGACACCCTTTTTCAGCCTACAACGATGCTGCAGACGCGTATGCAGCAGGCGGCCGAACACCTCGGAATTGCTCCTCACGACGACCAAGACGGCACGATAGCATTGCCCTGGACTGCTCGCGGCCAGCTTGGGTTCCTGGGCATCCACTTCCGAGCTGGAAACGAGTCTGCGCGCCTGTGGTGGGACCCTTCTCGTCACGCCCTCAGCAGCTTGCCCGACTTTCTCCAGTGCGCAGCGTGGGCCGAGAAGGAACTTGGGCTGCCCTTAAGCACACCCTGGTTTCTAAGTACTGACACCATCTCAGCTCTGGAGGCACCTGAGGTACAAAGCTTACGGGCATCAGGGAAAGTGAGAGTGTTGGATGGCGAGGATGGTTGGAAGCTCGCTCATGTGGACAGGTCACATGCCAACCTTGGCTTGCAAGGCTTCGTAGATTCCTACGCGGCGTACCTGCTTTTGGCTTCAGCTCAAGTGCTGATCCTCTCACGCAGTTTCTTTGGCGAGACGGCGGCAGAGATTGGAGCGGTGCCACATGTCTACTTTGCCGAAGGCTGCGTTCAGACTGACATGCGGAGCTCGTAAAACACAACCCGCCTCGCAACTGATGCAAGAGCGAGCAGCGAGTGCACAGCGCAGGCGAGCGCCGGCGCGCGCGCGCAGACACCAAATGACACAAACACCCCGAGAGGAGCTTTGAGTTGAGTCCACTTAATATGGCCGGAAGGCGACGCATGGCGTGGCGCCACGGCCTGGTGCAAGTCCCAGTGTTGTCAGGCAATGCCCAGAATATGAGAAGCCCGATCGAGAGATATCGAGAGTGATTGGATGAGCTTCGAGCAGGGGGCATCTTCGCTCGGAGAGATTTCTTTTCGTATCGCAGCTGTTTCGGCCAATGGGGTGAAAGACATGCTTGGGCAAGAGCTTTCGGGTGGTCCTCCCGGCTGCGGTCTCAGAGGGAAGTTCTTGAAAGCGCGCAGACACACAATACAAATCATGTTTGGTGCCCTTGTGCCCTTGCTGTGAATCGCAGTGACGGAGTCACAGCATCCGAGGTTTGGGCGCACGTGGCCGAGCGGTGCCAGAGGATGACCCTCCTCTGCAGTTGGCAGAGCAGGAAACAATGTAACAAAGCGACGCACGACGAGTCTCCATGAGTAGATAAAAATGAGAACGGAAAAAAAAAGAGAGCGCTCCCCAGAAGGTGTTGATACTGTACGTGCTGCGATGTGTTGCGGAGGTATGCCTTTTCCTATGGGGCATTTCCTGGCCTTTATGCCGGCAATGCGGTGCTGACGCCCGCCTCCTCGTGAGCCCGAGGAGGTGTTGGCACCAAGTCCCCCTTTCGCATCACGAGTCTCAGGTATGACTATCCCGGCTTTGGCTATGGGGCTTCCAAGAAGAAGGAGGCCGTCACACATGGCGAGAGAGAGAGAGAGCAAGCACTGCTCAAGCGCTGCCTTGCGGAGGAGGCCGAGAAGGCCGAGAAAGCCGAGGTGAGCTCCAAGAAGAAAGCCGAGAAAGCGGAGAAAGCCGACAAGAAGAAAGGCGGAGAAAAAGTCAAAGCCAAACTTGCCAAAGCGACCAAAGAGAAAGGAAAAGAGAAGGATACCAAAGACAGCGATGCCATGAACTGGCCCAAAGGACCCCCCCACACCTCGGAAGATTGCTCTTAGTCAAAGAGGCTTGAAAGTTGATTGCAATCAGAATGCCCTTGTCCTGGACCAAGCGGACTCTCAGACACATGGGGACACGGTCAGGACTTCTGGTTTCTGGTGGGAAAGACAAGATGGTCAAGAAGATCGTGCGCGGGAGCTTCAGGTTTGCTGGCGAAAACCATGGCAGGCGCTGGGCACGGTGGCCACATGTGGCCACCAGAACTTGGGGTACTGGATGCGGTTGCGCCTCGCATCAGTTCTGGAGGCCGTACTACCGGAAAGACGAGAAGTTCAACGACCTAGACGCCATCCGATTGCAACTGCATCGCCCCGCAACCTGAACTTCCAAAGCCCCCAAGGATCCCCAAAAAGATCAGAATCTCAGTTTTGTGTGTCGTTCTCTCGACTCAATTCAGGTTAGCTTGTCACAGGCCTTGCTCAAAATACCCACACTGAGAGATCTCTATACAGCAAGACCTGCGCAATATGACTTCGAGAGAGCGACCCGTTCTCTCTCACTTCGTGTTAGGTGCTTCTTTATTTCTGGGATGACCGAGATGGCTCCGACTTTTCCGGCTGGTGGTTCGGGCCCAAAGTCGGTGGAGACCAGGCCGCGGCCCCAGCTGCAGTTTGCCCATAATGGCTCAGCATGAGAGAGAACTTCGAGTTCTTTGCCCACTGCCTGCCACTCCCCGAGCTCAAAGCTCCACGGGGCGAGGTCTGGGCCTACCAACCGGGCGATGACCAGACACCCCCCGAGGGCGGGTGGAAGGTCAGCGGGTAGTCAAGCGTCGCTTCACTGTTTCCTTCCATCTTATAAAATTACTCACTTCTGAGCTACTTGAGCTGCCTTGGAGGGGGTTCCCCGGAGTCTCGGCCTTGATTCTGAGGTGCCCTACGACGGCCCGGTGGACAAAACCTTCACGGTGACGGCAAAAAAGGAGAAGGCCAAGAAGGAAGCGAAGGAAGCGAAGGAAGGCAAAGAAGGACAAGACGGCCCTGAAAACCCGGGAGGGGACGCCATGCAGGCCAGTGGTGTCCAGAATCTTCTGTTTTAGCCAGCAGCTCCTCTTTGCGGGCAGCCTGAGGCGTACTCCATGTGGTATGGGATGCCGTACATGGACCCTCACGCAGCAGAGCGTCACATGCAGGACGGAGTACTTCTGGTAGCGCGTTCTGAGACGTAGCGGGTAGCGGAGCCGAGTTCGCACTACGACATCAGGAGTATGCCCGGCTACACCAGGAAGAGGCCAAGAGGAGGTGCCACCAGTGAGATCAACATGTAGAAACTTCAAGGTTTCCTTTGCGATCTACGTCTTATAATGTTTCTTACGGCTTCTCAGCTGGGGGGTGAGGCTGGAGATGGAGTTCCAACGACAAAAAGCCGAAGAACAGCGGAGGCCTTCCTTTCGCGCTACGGCGCGCTGCCCTAGAATCACGGCCATAGCATATGCATCCGCATGCGCACGTGCATCTTGTCATCGACAAGCTCAGGAAATGTCCTTTACTCATTTTAATTTCGAGAGCGGCACTGAAATCACTGAGCCTCGCATAGCCTCGCGGTTGCTTCGCACAGGAAGGAGGCGGAGAGGAAGAGGAAGGAAGAGATCCGCAAGAGGCGGTTTGGACTTGGGGATTGCTCTCTCCGAATGCGTTGCTGCTTCTACGTCTTCTCAAACAATATGTGTTTCTGCACGTTCTAACTTCTCGCACTGGAGGCAGGAGGAGGTCAGAAAGAAGAAGGAGGCCTCAACCATCGCATGTGGAAGAGTGTGGAAGCCTTGTAGGTCGAAGCACCACGCTCTCTTGTCACAGGAAGACATGAAGCGACAGAAGGAGCTTCAAGAGCAGCGGATCAAGGAAGGAAAGGCCGTCTTCATGGTGCGCAAGGCTGCCCCCACTAGCCAGCACGCTTCGTCTAAGTCGCTGCGAGAAATAAGCATGATTTCGCAGATGGCTCCGTAGATATCAGGTCATTCAGAAGGTGGCCGCGGCGACGCCCGAGAATCTTGATGCGTTGGAGAAGGAACTGGAGCAATGCCTCCAAGATCACCTGGAGGCGGATGGGGGCAAGAATGGGGCAGGGGAGACCTGAAGCGAAAAAACTGCCAGAGACAAAGAGAAGCGCGGGGAGAGAGCCCTTCATATGAGTCTATTGTATTGTTGGGGCGGGGTCAACATGTCAGTCCTTACAGTTCGCAGACATTCTTCGAAACCCTGCGTAGTTAGCGATAATGCTGGTGGATCCAAGACCCCCCTTAGGCGTCTCACACTCAGTATCGGCGGTTTACAGCAGTCAATAGGACCACACGCCGGGGCGCGCGCTGCGCCGGGAGAAGCCCACAAAGAAAGAAAGAGTCAAGGGGCTACGTGTTCTAGAGAGCTGGAAATGGGTATAGTCGAGTCCCTGCTCGTTGCAGAGAGTGCCTGTCCTACAACCTCAACTCCATTGCCTCGCTCCGTGCCTCTGCCTCCTCGCTCTCCCACCTATTGGAAGGACACTGGAAGCCAGAAAGATCACATGAAGTCGGAAAGCGACAAGTGCTTGGATCAAGCCAAGAAGCGCATCGAGATCCTGAACGAGGTAGCGTTTCTTTCTTTGTCCACCCTCCTTGTGCTGCACAAATACTTAAACCCCAGCACGATAGAGCCAGCCACTTTCGTCCATCTAGTCTATAGCCGCATGGGAGGCAAAGCGCAAAGCACAGGAGAAGAAGGAGGCAGACGAGAAGAAGCGGCAGGAGATGGAGCAGCGGGCCAAGGAGAGCAGAGATCAACAAGATCAGAGAGCTGCTGAGAATTACAACTCTGAGACAGACGCGATGAATTCGTCGAATGTACGAATTCCTTGTTGATGTTTGCGCTCTTGCTCACGACCGTTTGGGTGTGCTGAAGAGTTGGGGGGTTGTGTGGTGTTTTTCATATATGTCGTGGGAAGTAGAGCTGCGCGATTGACACGATACACACAGGCGATAGCTTTGCAGGATTCCTCCCTACGCGAAGGGGCGAAAGCGCAAATTAAGCAACAAGTAATTGCTTCTGCGGTTTGTAGAGGCACTTGCTATTGAGCATGTGGAGAGTTTTCGTGGCGAGAGCCCGCGCAGGAGCTTTTGGCAGAGCTGAGCCAGCTGTTGGATGTTGCCGAGAAGGGGGTGCCAACGGGAGGGTGTTCAGTGATCAGTTCTTCTCGGTGCGTAGCACTTGCGCTGTATGTGGGCAAGAATTGGGGTGCGAATTCTGACTCAGGGAACAAGACTCTGAATCAGGGAGCGTTGACCGTTAGGACGATGTTGTTATCTTATTGGCTAAAGTCGTATGTGGCTGCATCCCCTGTGGAAGGCTTAATTGTAAACGCTTGCGCGCGCCGCCTCGGCAGCCGGACCGGCCCCAGGACAGGAAAGGAGGAAAGAAGGTTTCGCAAAAAAAGGGAGGAAGGGCAGAGCGGGTGGGGGGGGGGGGGGGGGGGGGGGGGGGGGGGGGTTTTTGAGGCACTCCCCCTGTAGGAGCCACCGACAAGCGGGACCCTCCACGGCATCGGTTTGCAGCTCCTCCAAGGGATTGGGGGGGGTCCCACAGGGCGGGGGGGGGGGGCGGGGGGTGGCGTCAGAAAATTTGGCATAGGGGGAAGGGTTGGGTTAGGGGGAAGGAGGCCCGATCCGGGTCTGCTTGTTCCAGACGCTTCTCGGCAGGAAGCCGAGGCGAATTCCTACGCGGATTTCTGATCTTCTGTATGTTATTCCTTGGGGTGTAGCGGGTGGCAATATCTGGTATCTAAAGTCTAAAGTACAGGTTTTGATTATTTGTGTTGATGGAATACCAACCATTAGGTATCGCCACCTCGCGCGCTTGCGTACCCCCACCTTCGGTGTGGGGTTGTTAGACTAGAGACTCCCAACCCAGAGACTCCCCAGTGACCAACCTCAGAGACTTCCTGGAGTGCCCAACCGCAAAGACTCCCTGGTGCCCAACCCCAGACCCCAACCCCATATGCCCAACCCATAGACTCCTGGGGGGCCCAACCCCAGAGACTCCTGGAGTGCCCACTCCCTGGAGTGCCCAACCTCAGAGAATTTCTGGAGTGCCCAACCCCCAAAAAAATCCAAATCCCTAAGGTGGGGATGTTCGAAGTAAAATATTTTGAAATCCGCTGTTGACTTACTGTCGGGGACTCTATGCTTGAAGTTAAACAAGATGCCGGACACTAACAACAATTATCAAGCTCACAGGGCATTAAGATGGCTGGGAGAGAGACAACAGCATTTAGATGTTAAGGGCAATGCTGCTAACTAACTGGCTAACGAAGTTACCATTTGGTGTTCTAGGTGGAGTCCTTGATATGGAGAGATACTTCCAAGCAGAACACGTACGAAACAAAAACCGACAGATTGATACAGTGGTGGGACATAGTCAGGCGGGGATTGTAGCCCTGCAGTTGGCGAAAGATTTTCCAGACAGGAATCTGAACACATGAACCTATAACAGTCCCATGCTCAATCCGGGACGCAAACTAAATACAGACCAACACAACAGATTCAGAAAGGTAGGTGATGTTGTTGTGCTTTTGACAGTGGTGGGGTAAAGTGTATAGAGATTCACTCAACCCGTTAAACAGTCACAACATTAGTGCGTTTCATGGCCTCGGTGAGTCTTTACCACTCGGCGAAGGATAAACTCTCAGTATAATTACGATGATGTTTAACAAACCAAGACATACAAAAGAACCCAACAGAGTAGGCAAGTCATCGGAAAGTCTACAGTTTAAAACCATTTTGAACAGGTAGTTGAGTCATTCAGGATACGACACAATACGAGAAGTAGTTGGAAAACACGAAGAGGTTACGATATTGCCACCGAATGACAAACGGAGTGAAGGCAGCAAGAAATCATGCTGATGAAAGATCTAGAAGTACTAAGAATCTACTTTATGCATAATATAACATTGATTTACCTCCAACAGAATCAGATGACAATATGATTAGCTCCCTTCAGTTTTCATCACCTGAATCCGCCGCGTATATCACTCATAGAAAACAAGTCCACTTCCCCAGCGCACAGGTGAAAATAATCATTACGATGATTATGAAGTTATGTTTGTTCGTTGATGTTGTTAACACTTCACCGTCAGCAGGTCAATATGTGCGTCCTTTAAATAAAAGCCATGCCTTCTTCACAAGACACAAATGCCACGCGGCAGGGCAACAAATAGACGTTTGAAAATTGCAACCACATGTGCCAGGAAATGAACCGAAGAAGTCAGAAACTTGGATGACATCCAAGAAGGTTGACTGCTTGATGCCTTCCACGTGTAGATCAACCATGTAACATATCATCAGCTGAAGAAATGCTGTCGTTGTTCTTCTTCTGATGTTCATAATCTTCTTTTGGGTATCCAGAACCTTTTGCACATCAGAAGGATTAGGACCCTCCAAATACAAATCTTCTTTAGCATCATCTACTGTCATTACTGCTTTTTGGTATTTCTTGGCTTCAAGAATGTTGGGTCCGAACGAATGATGGGGAGAACTTGTGGATACGGAACGGCATCATTTCATACTTTTACTGCTTGTAGTTACACTCAGGTAATGTTTTTTGGTTTAACAAAAGGAGCATCTTCACGCTACGATATATGAATTACGATCATTGTATTGATGTCATTGCCAGCCTTGACAAAATAGAACAGACAGAAGTAACAACGCCTAGGTATCTTAGGTGGTGTTATTCTGTGTTGGGGGGATGTAGAGGGGTTTCGCAATTTCTAACATTGAAGAAAAACTAATATACACTAATATGAGCAAGTCAAACAACGAGCAGAACGCAGATGGAGCTGATGGCGGTGTAAGTGTACATACAGATGGTATAAACTGTTGGTTTTGTATATACATACCATAAGGAAACCAACCAGCAACAGAAAATGAAAAAGTTGTGGTTCATGGTGTAGAAAAACAGGTCAAATTTTGAAGTGGGTCGTGGCGTGTCGCCTGATGATGTATGTTTAAGCCCTAAAAACTAATCAAGTCGGAAGTATTGAAATATGCGATACAGGTGGGGTGAAAAGGGGATTACCCCCCAATATTGCGACGGGAAGATAGAACAATTAGGAGAAGGAGTAGAAGATGTTACGTAGAAAAGATGTTGAAGCATTGAAATCTCATAGGCTCAATTGTTCCGGACTCATATTATTTCACAAATATTACACCAGCGAAGACCCCAAACAGTTTCGGCCCGACAACACACACACAGAAGAGGGCACGCAAACCTCGTGAGTCAGGAAGAATCGTGAGGCCTTCGGTGGTGCGGGGTTGAAGCTTTAAGGTGTAGCGTTGAGGGCCGAAGGCAAAGCTTGGGATCTCCGGCTTTCTGGGCAGAAGGGGCGGGCACTCCAAGCGTCTCGCCATTTTCGGTAACGTCTTCCCCCGCTCGCAGTCATAGCAAATTCCAGGGACTGCTTTGGCGCTTCGCCCGCTCATAGTCATAGCAAATTCCAGGAACTTTTCGGCAACGGCTTCACCCCTTCGCAGTCATAGCAAATATCAGGGACTGTTTTCGGCAACAGCTTCGCCTGCTCGAAGTCATAGCAAATTCCAGGGACTGTTTTCGGCAATGGCTTCGCACGCTCGCAGTCATAGCAAATTCCAGGGGTTGTTTTCGGGAACGGCTTCGCCCCCTCGCAGTCATAGCAAATTTCAGGGACTGTTGTCGGTAACGGCTTCGCACGCTCGCAGTCATAGCAAATTCCAGGACTGTTTTGGGTAATGGCTTCGCCCGCTCGCAGTCATAGCAAATTCCAGGGACTGTTTTCGGAAACGGCTTCGCCCGCTCGCAGTCATAGCCAATTCCAGAACGGCTTCGCCCACACGCAGTCATAGCAAATTCCAGTGGTTGTTTTCGGTAAAGGCTTCGCCCCTCGCAGTCATTTCAAATTCCAGGGACCTCGTGAGGGAGCATGCGAAAAAGAGCATGCAAGCATGAGCGGCGTGAGCATGCAGGCATGAGCGACATGAGCATGCAGGCATGAGCATGCAGAGCGTACAGGCTTGAGCGACATGAGCATGCAGGCATGGGACTGTTTTCGGTAAAGAAGTCGCCCGCTCGCAGTCATAGCCAATTCCCGGGACTGTTTCGGTAACGGCTTCGCCCGCTCGCAGTCATAGCAAATTTCAGAGCCTGTTGTCGGTAACAGCTTCGCCCGCTTGCAGTCATAACAAATTCTAGGGACTGTGTTCGGTCATGGCTTCGCCCGCTCGCAGTCATAACAAATTCCAGGGACTGTTTTCAGTAACGGCTTCGCCCGGTCGCAGTCATAGCAAATTCCAGGGATTGTTTTCGGCAACACGTGTCAAAAAAACTGAACTCCACAACCAAACAATGCACAACCAAACAATGCACAACCACTCGTGCACGAAGTCGTTCCGGAAAAGCGCGGGCAGGACACGGGAGGGGCGAACTCCCAGCATGCCCTCGGGAAAAAATGGACATGTGGCTTGCAGAGCACTTCATGCCCAGGATGCTCATGACACACGATGCTCACAGCCTCCGGCATCCAACACCAAGTGAGACAAAGGGAGACAACGGGAAACAAGAGAAGTCACCGACCACCGCAAACCCGGAACAGGCACACGAAAGGGAGACAAAGGGAGACAAAGTGGACACACCGGCCACCGCCAACCCGGCGCAGGCATCCAACACGAAGGGACACAAAAGGAGACAAGCAGCGACACCGACCGCCGCAAACCCGGCACAGGCATCCAAGACCAAGGGAAACAAAGGGAGACAAAGGGAGACAAGCAGAGACACCGACCACCGCAAACCCGGCACAGGCATCCAACACGAAGGGAGACAAAGGGAGACATGTGAACCGGCCGCCGCCAACCCGGCACAGGCATCCAACACCTAGGGATACAAAGGGAGACGAAGGGAGACAAAGGGAGACAAACGAAAACAAGCAGACACCGACCACCGCAATCTCGGCACAGGCATCCAACATGAAAGGAGACAAAGGGAGACAAGTGGAAGCACCGGCCGCCGCAAACCCGGCACAGGCATCCAAGACCAAGGGAAACAAAGGGAGACAAGCAGAGACACCGACCACCGCAAACCCGGCACAGGCATCCAACACGAAGGGAGACAAAGGGAGACAACGGGACAAATGGAGACAAAGGGAGGGCCACCGCCAACCCGGCGCAGGCATCCAACACGAAGGGAGACTAAGGGAGACAAGTGGACACACCGGCCACCGCGAACCCGGCACAGGCATCCAAGACGAAGGGAGACAAGCAGAGACGCCAACCACCGCAGACCCGGCACAGGCATCCAGCACCAAGGGAGACAAAGGGAGTCAAGTGGATGCACTGGCCGGCGCCAACCTGGCACAGGCATCCAAGACCAAGGGACAGGCATCCAACACCACGGGAGACGAAGGGAGACAAAGGGAGACAAGTGGAGGCACCGGCCACCGCAAACCCGGCAGGCCTATCTCCACCAGTCGGAAATCCCTAGAAGGAATTGAGGACCCCAACAGTCGACTGTTTGGGGAATTATTTACGATTCATTGACAGTGTGCATCCTTGTGTATCCCAGAAGCAAGAAGAAATTGCCGAAGGGGGTGCGGCGAGACACACTTACACAATTGGTGCTACATAAGATAGCACTGAGAGTGGACTTTGCTAATGAGAAGTTGTATCACAATCGTTTTGTATGTAAAAGCTTAACCTCTATATGGGTGATAAACCTGTGTTCAAAAACAAGACGTCAGACTGAGACTCGAGAGGATAGAGAAGATACTAAATGAAGGATTCACAAGAAATCTCGACAGAGCGCCCATTGAAGCCACTTATGAAGACAACTGAAGAAGTGAGAAACTTTGATCCCAAACCTACACTGGAGTACTACAAGACAAGGTATGTCGAAGAAGCGGAAACCTACTCAAAAAATTGTCAGCTAAGAACAATGAGTACACTAGAAGCACGATACATGCAATGTAAGGCATGCAAGCAAATAAAGCACGCAGATGGGTTTGTAAGTATGAAATTGAATCAGGTCATCCCAACATTGAAAAGTTTGAAGAAGGATATGAAACCTGTATCACTTGTAGAGCAATAGCAAAAAGGCTTTGTGAAGAAAGATGTCAAGAAATAAGTCAAGTTGACAGATTGTCAAGCCATGCAGAAAGTTGAGAAGCTTGACGAAGGATACAAAACTTAAACATGTAATGTGTGCAGGGGGGAGAAGTTGAGATTGTATCAAAGTGACCCAGCAAAACACAACGAGAGAACAAAATGGCACAAGCAGTCACAAAGCAAACAAGCCCGAAAAGGTGAAGGAACGGGGACAAGACCACATGAACAGAATCAAGGACGAAATGTTTTCTTGCCCTGTCTGAAATTACGACATCAAAGAAGCACAAGTTCAAACAGCACGAAGAATCACAGACGCATCAGTATTTAATGCAGGAGGCAGAAAAGCCAGAATTTGAGAAAGGTGTTCTTAAGCCAGGCCAGATAATGTCAGAAGACAATGGCGGACCAACTCGGACCAACCTACCATAGCAAAGCAATGCAAAGCAGCGGCAACTTGTACCTGCTTGGATGGGCAGAGCGCTTTAATACGTATTGGATAAGACATATTCAAGAAACAGAAATGGAACACCAATACAACATAACATTCAAATTGAGCATTCTTGAATGCCCCAACCTACTACCATGCTATGATCATAAGTTGAATAAACCTAGCTTTGCCCTTTTTTAGGAATCTGGTGTTTGGGCTTGAGGTCTACAAATGTTGGGATAGGATTCGGACTAACATTTGGGCTATGGTGAGTGGTGGTGGTGGTGTACTACTCCCACAATGGGCACACCCTCTGCCAACTTTCACATGACTGCAGCTCTTGAAGAGGTGGAACACCTCAAGGAGGTGTGTGCTCCTTTGGAGCAGGGCGACCAGCAGAGCCAAGAAGAGGCACAGGGACTACACCTCGAATATTCACCACTCCGCGGATTGTACAGCAGAAGTCTTTGTGATAAAGAGCCCTTATATGAGTTATACGTAGCGTATGACAGGTGGACAAATGCGCCGATGCCGTGGAGGCTGCCGGCCTTGAGACGAAAAGCCTTGTGAAGACATGCGCTGTGACCTCGGACTTGGCACAAGTGATTCTGCTCAATGGTCTTGCTGTTTGACATACTCTGGGAACAGGGATGCAGAACACAAGTTTGTGGGGTCGTAGGGTTTTTCAAGATGTGGGTTGACTGGATGAGATCTCCACACTGAGATGGATTTCTTGGTCAGCAACGGCCCGGAGATGAAGGAGCCAGAGATGCAGGGGAGTCCTCTCGGGAGTCCTCAAAAGTCCTCGAACTCATGCGCAGCAGGGCTTGTTTTTTTTTTTTTTTTTTGGGGGGGGGGGGGGGGGGGGGGGGCAGGGGGTGTGAACTGATACTGTAATACACCCAGCGGGCGGGTGCAGGCTTTGATAGGTGCACCCGTATCATGATGCAACCCTGCTCTGTTGTGCCCGCGCCTGCAGAACACACGCTTTGCTTCAGCCACTTCCGCCAAGTTGCAGCACGGGCGCATATGGGCCCTCAGCCTCCAAGCATCAGAGGACCCGCCGTCCGGAGTGGCGGGCACCGGTGCAACGGGCGCCTCGGAGATCAAGCAGCTCATGGCGCGGTGCCTCTCGAGGATCAACGAGCCTCTTGGGTCGCAAGCTGTCGCAGGGATCTGGGGGATGTCGCTGTCGCGTGTCTCTTGCTGTGGCAGCTGAGCCAAACTCAGGTGCACGAAGCTCAGCGATACGCTGGTGGCCGCGTCTCGAGCAGTCCAGCTCGCTGTCGCGCGGCGGGCCGCAGCGTCACGGGCCACCAGCCAGCTCAAGGCCCACGCTGCAGGAATGCTGCTGACCTCTCCACCGGCATCCCTCTAAAAAGTGCGAGGATCTCTTCAAGAAATACGATGTCGATGGTGACCAGATGCTGTCCAAAAAGGAGGACCGCTTGTCACCGCGGCTGTCGATCTGCTTTGTGAGGGAGGGAGAAAGAAGAGATGGTGAACCACTCCGCAGGTGCTCGCCTTTGCAAAATCCGAGCTCCAGCTGACACTGCCTGCGGAAGCCTATGCCTTATGCAGGGCCCTACAGGGTCACAGTGCGATTGACGTAGCTGACGTAGCTGGATTGTGACATGAGCGCTTTCCTAAACCAGCCTGCGCTCGAAGGTTCTGGACAAGATGTGGCCCAAAGTCGTCGAGGACCAAAGAGACGGCGTTCTTTTCGAAAGGCGCGACTACCAATGCCGGGTGGGGCCTGCATTTGCCTGCATTTCTCCGTGCCTGTCCTCCCCTGAATAGGAGGAGTTAACTTGTTTGTCTTGTGCCCGAAGTAGGAGTGAGTGCAGTCTTTGTCAAATCCGGAATCCTGGGCCCGACAGGCACTGCAAGGGCAAACAATGCGTAGCTTTGCCGCCCTTTGCGTGCTTTGCCTGCAGGCTGCACGTGCTCAAGTGCAAGCTGGGCATGCAGCGGGAGCTCCTCCGCGACCAGCGCCTTGAACTGCACCGGAACGCACAAGAATGGATACAAAAGAACCATGCCTCCAAAGCAATGCCAGAACCCTACTTCCTAAAACCCGGAACAGCCCGAAAGAGGCAGCGGAAGGAGCGACGTGAAGCTCGCGACAAGGCGATGGTGCTGACGTCTCTTGCTCACGGGGCTTTCCCGCGCCCTCAGAAGTGGTGTTCCTTGTGCCTGCGCGTTGCCAGTCTGACTCAGCAGCTCGTCGAATTCTCCATTCTCCAAGAGAGATTGGGATCTGGCCAGGTGCGGGCAATTCTCCGGGCCCAGCTCGACACGAAGGCGTTCTGGGCGCGTTTCGTACAGGTTGTCAAACTGAGTCTATCGGGCTCGTTACAATTCACCATAATTCACCTGTTTCAGGTACAGCGGGTCGAGAGGGACGTAGAGGCGGTGGAGCAGGCGGTCGCGAAAGTCGAGCAAACGCTGCCACCGCTAGAGGAGGAGGCAGGCGCCCAATGTTGTAGTGGAGCATCCCAACCCAAAGACTTCAACAAGAGATACGTTGAAAATTGAAAACTTTATGAAGTTCACGAGAACAGCAGCTTCATGCGGCTTCAATGTACACGGCGTCTCTCCCCCTTGAATTCCATCCAGGCTCGGAGGTCCATCGACATCCCAGCCCAGACGGCGGGCTGCAAGGTTGTGCTGCAGGCCCTAGAACATAGCACCTGCCTGGCACGAACACTGCGTTTTGCTTTTGGGGAATTGCAGGACGCACGGGATGTGGCCGGTGCTGTTCAGCAGAAGATCGACGATCTGCCCAGCGGCTTCGAAGAGCGTCATCAGGAAGACGTGAAGGTGCCCCCTATTGCCCCATGGCACCTCTAAGCAATTACTGGTCTTTGCTGCCTCGCGATATTGGATCAGGACCTGCTGATCCCAGACCTTCGCATTCTTTCCAAGCGGCCGTTACCTCGGCAAAAACCCACTTAAAGCCCAAGCCACAGAGCCTGCTACTGCTAGACGACGCTAGACGTTTGGGGCCATTCGCGTTCAGTGGCCCGTTAGATTTTGCATCCGAAGCCTTTTGTCTGCCTTGTGAGCGAGACATTTGCAGTAAGAGCTGGGGCAGCTGGGAGCTGGGGCCTCAGGATGGCCCGCTTTGACTTGCGACTGCGGCGCATCGACAACCTCTGCAAGCGCTTCGAAATGGAGGCGCGAGCCAACAAAGTCCTGTGGAAAGTCTAAGTCCACACTCATGACACGCCTGCCTTTGCCTTTCCGCTCATCCGGAATGACTCCGGAAGGTGCAGCAGAGGCAGCGCGCCGAGCTCTATGGAGCACGGCTCTTCGCTGTGAAGGCTTAGCATTTAGATTGAAACCGTAAATCTGCATGTGAATCTGCAGCCTGCAAGAAGTCGGGCATGAAGGCATGAGTCAGACAAGAAGGCATACCTCCCCTCTAATCTCCTCCGATTCGGATGCCCTCTGGCCTTCACCTCGCCCTCTTCGAACAGGTAGGACATTTCTTTTTTCACGAGTCGCCTTTGGAGGTCGCCCGGCTCTATGCTGCACGACGCAGCCGCAGCCTTCGGCAGCTGTGCCTCGTTGCGAACTATGACTTGTGCAAAGCGGATATCTTGCAAAGTGGGGGGGGGGGGGGGGGGGGCGTGAAAAATGCAGTGCTGCGAGGCATTCTACTCAGCAGGAGCATCCGGAACATCCCAACACCACATATTTCCGCAAGCAAAGCGCAAAGCAAAGCAAAGCAAACCTGCCTCTTCTTCGGCAGTGGGGCTGTGTCTCCGTGCGGCTCCATGTGGCTCCATGTGGCTCCCTACGGGGCATCTCTTTTTTTTTTGACGTCCATTTGTTTGAGAGGTTCATCGAAATGGATGCCAGCGGAGATGGTGGGATCGACTTGCAGGCCAGGCTCAACTCCAGTTTCTGCATGTCCGAAGGAAACGTAGGGAGGCGTTGAAGCCACTGCTGCGGCAGGGGGGGGGGGGGGGGGGGCTCTGTAGTCTCTGCTGTAGTCAGAGTCCAAAGCATGAAGAGGAGTTCTCGCTCTTCTTCATGTCGATGGAGCGCGGCATCCTGGACGAGGAGGGGGTCCGGAGGGAAATCGCAACCATAAGAGATACACACACACACACACGGACACACACGGACACACACGGACACACACACACACACACACACACACACAGACACGCGGACACACACACACACACACACACACACACACACACACACACGGACGGACACGCGGACACGCGGACACGTGGACACGCGGACACGCGGACACTCGGACACGCGGACACGCGGACACGCGGACACAGGGACACAGGGACACAGACACACAGGGACACAGACACACAGGGACACAGACACACAGGGACACAGACACACAGGGACACAGACACACAGGGGCACAGACACAGAGGGACACAGACACACAGGGACACGGACACACGGACACACGGACACACGGACACACGGACACACGGACACACGGACACACGGACACACGGACACACGGACACACGGACACACGGACACACGGACACACGGACACACGGACACACGGACACACGGACACACGGACACACGGACACACGGACACACGGACACACGGACACACGGACACACCGCACGGACACACGCACGCGGACACACGGACACACGGACACACGCGCACGCGCACGCGCACGCGCACGCGCACGCGCACAGCACTCGCACGCACACGCACACGCACACACGCACGCACGCACGCTCACGCACGCACGCACACCCACACACTCACACACACACACACACAACACACACAACACACACACACACACCACCACACACACACACACACACACACACACACCACACACACAACACACACGGACACACACACACACACGGACACCACACACACACACACACACACACACACACACACACACACACACAACCCACACACACACACACAACACACACACACACACACACACACACACACACACACACACACACACACACACACACACACACACACACACACACACACACACACACACACACACACACACACACACACACACACACACACACACACGGACACACACGGACACACGCGGACACACGCGGACACACGCGGACACACGCGGACACACGCGGACACACGCGGACACACGCGGACACACGCGGACACACGCGGACACACACACACACACACACACACACACACACACAAAACGTGCCAAAAAATGCAAGAAACGTTTCACGGCCTTGTTTTTGTGCCGGATGAGCAGCAGCAGAAGCAGCAACCAACCAGCAGCAGCCAAAAACCGACAAAGATGCCAAGCAAAAAGTCGGACCCTGTTTTGAACTAAACCCAAGCCCTGAGGTTCAAAAGAAAAGCACAAGACAAGCTTTTTTTCCTGAGGAGAGGACTTCGAAACGAGTCCTGTTTGGGGCAGAAAAAAGAACAACAAACAGGCATTGTCCGTGAGAGGCCTCCGCTCCGGAGCGGCTGCCGGAGCCGAAGGCGGCGCCGCCGAAGGCTCCGGCCAAGGTCCGGGACGAGCTCCCCGCGGGCGCCCCAAAAAATCAGAGAAGAGAGAACAGAGGCAGAGAGCCAAAAAAGAACGAGAAATTCACAAGAGAGAAAAGAGGGATGAAGTACGTTGTACACAAAAACTATATAGAAATGTTCGTGTATCTACATATGTATGGTACCCCCCCATTGATCCACCGTTCTGGATGGGCATCTGGGTTTGGTGGGTGGGTTCCTTAACATTGAAAGTTTGACATTCGGATCCATCCACATGATATACTTAAACTACAGGATCCATCAACATGAGAAACTAAGGCAAAAGGTTCAACATTAAGATGTTGAAGTTCAACGTTGGAGGCGGATCCAAGCTTCATTCAAGATGCCCAGGAAACCTCTTTCAGGCATTGCAACGCTGAACTTCAATATTCAATGATGAGGTTCAACATTCCAATGCTGAACGTCGTTCCATGCGCGTATGCGCCATAGAGGAGAGCCCCTGACAGAGCCCTTGAATGCTGAAACACTGAGCCCTATAGCCTAGTCGCTAGATCCTGGGATCCTTACATCTTGTTCCTAGCTTTTCTGCCTAAATCCTATTCCCTAAACCAAAAAAGCGAGGTCCCTAAACTTTAAGTTCTTTTCACTAAACCCGAAAAAGAGCGGGATCCCTAAATAATTTTGTTCCCGATGTCTTATGCCCTGAATATGATTCCTAAGTCCTGTTCCCCAAGCCCTCAAGAGGGTTTTTCAAACCCTCAAAAAAACTGCCCCCCCCCCCCCCCCCCCCCCCCCCATTCCTACATCTTGTCGCTAAATCCGAAAGAGCGGGATCCCTGAAAAACTTATTCCCGTACTTTTATCCGTGAATCCTATTCCTAGGCCAAGCCGAGGAAACAAATCCTGCTTCCTAAATCGCTTTCGTGAAAAATCCCGAAGAGCGGGATCCCTAAGTCTTGTTCCCTAGACCATAAGGCGAGGAATACCATTTGGGGGGATCCCGCTCTTTGGTTAGCGAAAGGATTTAGGAAATAGGGCTTGTTTTTTCGGATTGTTTTTCGGGTTTAGGGTCTCTTCTCCATAGGGATTAAGGGACTAAGATTTGGGATCCCTCCGCTTTTGGGCAAACATATCCATATGCAAGGCTCGCGTCAGAAAACCAAAAATCCATGGATCAATGAGTGGGGGAGCATACAGATATATACACACACATATATACATATATAAATTCTTTACACACATACTAAATATAGAAAGCAGAGGTCAAACGAAGATAGTCCCGGAAGAGGAGACCCCGTGCGCCACTCGCTGAGGTTTTGGAGCCTGTGCAGTTAACAGAGGAACTTCTGTCCCGACTCTTTCCAAGCCTCCTCGCGGGGGGCCTCAGTCAGAGAGAGAGAGAGAGGGAGAGAGAGACAGGGACCTGACTCAACCTCGGGCGCGCTTCGAGCGCGGGGGGGGGGGTTCCAGCAGAAGAAGGCGAAGAAGAAGAGAGACAGGGAAAGAGCAAGAGTAAGCCAAGAAGAAGGGTTCTTCGGGTCTCTCCACGCCCAGCAGAAGAAGAAGAAGAGGAAAGAAAATTGCAGAAATGCCTGTCCCATGTTGCTACCAGCAAGGCACAACAAGTGCTTTTTTTTCCACTTAGGCACCTGGTTGCAGCAAGCTCTCGGAAGAGGCCTTCTATCAGCTCATGCGCTGCTACTTCAAGGCGCACATTGAAAGACGATCACCGAACAGCTTGCAGAGCATGCGTGGATGCCGCGGGCCAGGTGGTCAAAGAAGGGCCCCTTACGTCGGAGCTGCAGGTGACGGGGACCAACAGCCTAAGACAGGCGAAGCTCGACGAGGCAAAGCCAATTGCGACAAACGCCGCGAGCACATGGCACAAAGAGCTGTGACATATCGTGACGCCTCAGGTGGTCGAGCTTCTCGATGGACCTGCTGAGGAGCCTCAGATGAAGGCACGGAGGACGTTCTATTGCGGCCACTCAGCGGAGTGCGATGCCTGTGGGAAGTTTTTGTGGGACAACGAGAGAGTTATGGAGAAGTTCCAGAGAAAGTCAGCGGCTGTGGGGGAGTTGAGGGGCGGGGGGGTGAGTTCGGGGGAGGGGGGAGAATGTTTACACACGAGGCACGGCATCCCATAGTCAAAGAGACTCTGAGTTGTGGGAGGTTTGGCGAGTCAAGGGCCGGCTCCTGGCGGATGGCTTGGAAGGCTGGCTGACGCTGCGAGGCCCCGGCTGTTTGAAGAGCCAGTTCCACAACGGCGGGAGCACGGCGGGAGCACAGCGACAATTTCAAGTTGCTATGAAGTTACAGCTACACGACGCCTATTGGCAAAATTGAGTCGGTCAAATACAAGGTTGCTGCGTTGTTGACTGCTCTCGTGCTTCCGTCAGGAACGGATGGCGTGGCACATCTTCAGGACCGTGTTTCTTCTGGTCGCCAGGGGTAATTGAGAGAGGGTAACGAGCAAAGGCATGCTCCTGCCAGGACTGGCGGGCACTGTTCAAGGTCCTTCGTGACGTCCAGCTCACGGAGAAGTTTGAGCGGCCCGCGGACACGAAGCACCTGGAGCGAGCGCTGGGCCTCACGGGCGATGAGGGTCTGGAAGTCTCGGCTCCGGAGAAGGAGCCTGAGACGCCCGAGACGCCTGAGACGCCAGAGATGTCCGAGAAGGTGAAGGAAGTCAGTGTGGTGAACTCCTCGGTTCTGGAGGAGGAAGGTGAAGAGACACCCAACGGATTCGATCCGGAAGATCCCTTCGATGCTGAAGGGCCCGAACCCGAAGTCGAGGAGGCTCCGGCCATGCCACTGGGCTTCCAGCTCTTGCAGCACGTCGACTCACCCGAGCCGGAGGAGCCCGACGAGGCCGGGACCTTGTGACATGGCCAAGGTGATATGCCGATTTGGGGTGTCTCCCTCAAAGAATGCGGCACGGTATGACTGTATGACTAGCAAGCTCCACCTGCTTAGCTGTTTTTTATCTGTCCCTTTTGTGCAGGGCTTCCGGCGCTTGCGGGAGGGCGAGCTGGTGGAGGTTCTGGAGTGGCCGTCGAACCACCTCGAGCCACGCACCTAACCCCACTGCGGCTCTGTGACAGGTCTGGAAGTGTTGGAGACACGGCGCCTTCCAAAGTGCTGCTGCCCTGAGGTCTGGGCTCACTCGCATGAAAGTGCAAGCCACGAAGGATTGCGCGGTGGGCTGGATAACGCAGACCAACGCGGATGGCATCATCTTTGCAGAACCGCACTGACTCCAAAAGAAATAGTGCTCTTGCGTGGTCACTTTTTGCCCCTTGCTCTTCACGGTTCTTCGTGCCGCGACTGTCTGGCCTCTCACCTGATATCTGACTCAGCTGGAGCAGTTTCGGCTTCGAGCTGGCCACCGAACATGGCTGACGTTGTCAACAACATACACAACATACGAGCTGAAATGTTCCTTCTGAGTACGTAGTTGTTTTGCTTTGTTGCCTGATCGAGAAGTACTTCAGCTGGTTGCATCCTCTTTCCCCCGCACCTGCTCGAGCCCCATCACGACGTCCCTTGCAGAAGGGGTGCTCATACGGATGGGTCAGAAGGCCACTTCGCCCAAGCATGGACTTGAGGCCTCGGAAAGGTGCAAGCAGTGCAAACTTCGTGGCGCAGCCTCACCTCAGCTCATGTTCGGAAGGATCCATCGCAAGGTGTGTAGGGTTTCACGGGTTAAGCACACGCCCTGCAGTAATACACGTACGTGCAAGTCTTGGCAAGGGGCCTCAAAGGCAAGCTTGCTTCTCAGCATTGCAAAAGAACGTAACGCGCTCATGGCAAGCATAGTCAGCATGGTTCAAGCATAGGTGTACAAGCTTCTGCGACCGACGCGCCATGACTGTGCCGGTGGTCCTCCGGATCTTTTTCACCTCATTTACGTTGCTGGTCCTGGCGGATGGTTCGACTGGGGCTTGGCACAAGCCCTGGGCAACCCACCACGGCTGTGCCAGCATCATCCGGCGTTTCGATTGGCAACAGAACACGTCTGAGCCCCAGTATCGGCGATTCCATGCTTGCATCGCACGACGGAAGGATCTGCCGGACTGGGCCGCGAAAAGTCGGCCTTCACTGCTTTCAGGCGAGCATTACCCGGTTTCGGTCGTACCGTCTGTGAGTGGAGTGCCCTTGTATTGGATCACACCAGTCTATGACTATGTCGTGTCCAACTTCATCAGGAAGGAGGGAACCTATGAGCCCATGGAGCTTGAAGTGTTTCGAAATCTGGTGAAGGAGGGCGACGTGGTGTGCGACATGGGCTCGCACGTGGGGAGCTACTCCATCCCGCTCGCATTCCACGTTGGTCCAGGCGGCCGTGTCCATGCCTTCGAGCCATTTCGGGTGGTGTTCCAGCTGCTAACAGGGAATGCTGCCATCAACGGCCTGGCGAATTTCCACACCTACAATGTAGCCCTTGGTGAGAAATCAGAGGTGTTGCGGGTTCAGAGCCCTGCGCTGAGGCGCTCGAGCAACATAGGTGCTACAAGCGTTTACCATCAGGCCAAGCCAGTCTACGGTGAAAACCACGTATTGCAGTACGAGGGTGAGGAACAGGTGAAGGTTGAGACCCTGGACTCCTTCCAGATAGAGCAAGTGCATTTCATGAAGATTGATGTAGAGGGGGCCTTGGACAAAGTGCTGCGCGGTGGTCAGCAGACCATTGAGAGAAGTCGACCGCTGATCGCATGCGAGCATGGTGAGCCAACGGCTCCGGAGATCTTAGTCGCTTGGGGCTATCGCTGCTTGCTCGTCCTGCCAGTGCACGACCTATGGGTTTGTGTACCGGAAGAGAAATGGTGGCGCTATCGCTGGCTTGAGGCCACGGACTTTGGGTATGGCCCCGCTGCGGAAGCTGCGGAGTCTGAAAGGACTGAGAGGGCTCCAGAACCTCAAGAAGTTCGGAGGAGCACCGATCCACCGAAGCTGTTCCAAGAGGGCGAGAGCCTCTAATTATCCGCATTCAAAAAAAGAGAGCAAAGAGCGGCAAAAAGGGCGCGCAAAAAGGGCAGAGTGCTTATCGCGTAGACATTGGAGCTTCTCAGAGCACATCCCAAAAAGAAAGCTTCCTCCTGAGTGGAAACTGCGATGCCGCCTGAGTCAGGTCCACCATGTCTTCAGCGGCGGCGTTGGCGGTTGGAACTTTTGAGTTGGGGACACATCCAGAGCTGCTGAGCTTGGCCGGACGCACCTGGGGTGTCCAGAGACTTATGAATCCTGGCTGAGCTCAATTCTTTGAATCTCTGCAGATGTGGGGGGAAGGAAGTGGCTGGGTTTAATGTCAATGAACGTCGAGCATACTGGCATCAAGAGTGAACCAGCTAATTACTGTTCTTGGGATTCACCCAGGCGACTGACCTTTGAAACTATTCTGCAATCATTTGCAATCTTGCTTGTAAACAGGCAGCGTGCAGGCGTCTCAGCTCAGCAGAATCTCTTTGGCAGACGATGAAATCGTCTCAAGCATCCTGCATGACAAAGCATGTCAATCAGAGCCCTTAGTGCTAGTGGGAGTGACAGCTACGACAGCGGAAAAAACAATTGCTTGCACTTCCCGGACCGCATGTTTTTTGGGGAGCCCCTGTTTACTGTAGACTTTTCGTGGGATGTTGCCTACGGTGCTTTGAGGCCAGACCTTTCCAGCACATGCGGCCTGGAGGCCTGGAGGGGTTGCACGATTGCGGCGTTGCCGGAGATGTTATTGAGCGCGAGGGAGGAGGTGATCCAACACGGAAACAAACCGGACACTCCATGTGCCACATCACAGAGCCACTTGCGCAGCACCACGCGGCATCGTCGTTTTGCTTTTTGTGGTCAAGTTTTTTGGCTCAAATCTTTAATTGAACGCCGGTTCCTCCGCATCGCGGTTCCTCGGCCTACCTCGGAGGCTTCCGTTCCGTGGGAAGCTTTGGGAGAGGCAGATGGGGGGCCGAGTCGACATAGAGCTTCCTTCCCCAGCAGTTTCACTCGAGTAGACTGAGCAAATAAAGTTGGCGACCTGTGCTCACCGAAGCCACTCGAGGACTTGCAACTGCTTGGCCCCCATTACCAGTATTGGCTGTTGATCTGTCGCCTCACTTTGTCCGTTGTGATCTTGTCTCGCCATACGAGCTTCTGAAACGATCACATCCGGCCTTGCCGTGTGTAGCAGATGCTTCAAGGGGACAAAGCCAGGAGTCGAAGAGACTTACTGTAGGCTTGGGAAAAGCATGAAGAAGGTTGAATACCCGCTTTCAAACATGCAAGGCCATCATGCAGCTCTTGCGGCTCACGGCAATGAGACGAAGGCGAGAACGTTTGTTTGCGCCCTTTCATGGTTTAGAGGCCCATTGCTTCTCACTTGGACCCTTGGACTTGGAAGCTATACAAGGCATCCCACCTCCTCCTTTCTCGCAGCATGCGTGTCCCAAGCTCAGAGTTTAAGATCCACAGCGCCTCCTCTCGTATCCTCTGGAGACTCGAGTTAACGAGTTAACCCAGCTGTCGGGAAGCTTCGATGGGGAAAGGGAACTTTGAACTCTCGATGTGATCAGGCTCGTCGTGTTCGGATTGTCAGCGCCCTTGCGTCCTCGTGTGGAATTCCTTGACTCGGGCTTGCGCTTGCCGTACGTGCTTGAGGTCGTGTACGGGTTTCCTGGCCCCCGGGCCTCACGTCAGGCCGAATCTGCATGTAAGCCGCGGAGAGAGGGGGTCCAGTTCGTCTCCCTCTCGCGTTCTCTCTCTCTCTCTCTCTCCCTCTCTCTCCCTCTCTGAGTGGCTCTCTGTTGTCACTCTTATTCTCCGATTTCCAGAAGCGACGAGCTGATGTCAGGAGCCCGAAGGCCCTAGAGCCGGCAGTTTCAGGCCAAGGCCCAGAGAGTAGGGTCAACGCACAACAAAGCCAAGAGGCCCAGAGAGCTAAATCCGAGAGAGTTCACCCAAAGAGCGCCGCCAGGGCCGCCAAGTCTCGCCGATTCTAGGGGCATCTTCGCATCGCGGCGTGGCAGCAGCACGAGCTGTCTTGATCCGACTGTTCCCCCCACACCCTCCCCGCTTTCAGAGGAACTGATTCGGTGAGATGGCTGTCGGAGTGTTTGGAGTGTGGTCCTGAGATGCGGCTCCGGGCTTGGCCTCGTGGTCTTGGCCCGCTCCGCCACCGGAGTTTTGAGGAGCTACATCGATCGGAGATCTGGCACTTTCTGCGGGGGCTCCGACCGAGCCAAACCACCTGAAAAAACCTGCAAGGACCGCAAGGACACCTTGCCTCGCCAAGAAGAAGAAGGGCGGCGGCGGCGCCGCCCCAGCCCGCGCTGACGAAGGCGAGTTGAGCCAGCTGACCCGCTCTGGCCAGTAATTACTCTCCACATGCAACGCTTTTCCCATCTGTCACGGGTTTGAAGATGTTTTTGTTGCGGTGGCGCACGCCACAAGGCCACAGCGACCGCCGGGCGAAGAAGCAGCAAGAAGAACTATGAGCAACAAGAACAATCAGAAGAGTATGAACAGGAATTATGTCAGCGACGACTGACCGCGCATCAGGAAAACTTTGGCCTGTGCCAGTCAAAAGCAACGGTGTGCTCAAGCTTCAGACCACAGAGGACTCGCTTCTGCTACACTTGTCCAAAATGAGGGTGTCCTTTCTCTCGTCCTTTCTCTCCTTCTTCTTCGGCAAGACACCCTTGACATGGACACCCACAACGGGGACCCCTAATTTTGGGAACCTCCACATGCCAGACAAAAGCAAAGCTCTGCTCAAGCTTGAGAACAAAAAAGACTTGCTGTTGTCAATCCTTTTTGGTTTCTTCCATAATAAAACGTCACGGTCTTGTCCGCTTCTATTGGTTTTGGCTGTCACAGTCTCGTCCCCTTCTATTGTTTTTGGCTGTCACGGTCTCGTCCGCTTCTACCTTTTTTGGCTGTCACGATCTCGTCGCGGACAGCAAAAACAATAGAGGCGGACGAGACCATGACGGCCAACAACAGTAGAAGCGGACGAGACCGCGACAGCCAAAAACAGTAGAAGCGGACGAGAAAGCGACAGCCGAAAACAGTACAAGCGGAAGCGGCCCAACAGCCAAATAGTAGAAGCGGACCGTGACAGCCAAAACCAGTAGAAGCGGACGAGCGCGACAGCCCACACCAGTAGAAGCGGACGAGACCGTGACAGCCAAGAACAGTAAAAGCGTTCTACTGTTTTAAGCTGTCACGGTCTCGTCCGCTTCTACTGTTGTTGGCTGTCACGGTCTCGTCCACTTCTACTGTTTTTGGCGCTCACGGTCTCGTCCGCTTCTACTGTTTGTTTTCGGCCGTCACGGTCTCGGCCGCTTCTACGTTTTTGGCCGTCACGGTCTCGTCCACTTCTACTGTTTTTGGCGGTCACGGTCTCGTCCGCTTCTACTGTTTTCGGCCGTCACGGTCTCGTCCGCTTCTACTGTTTTTGGCTGTCACGGTCTCGTCCGCTTCTACTGTTTTTGGCTGTCACGGTCTCGTCCGCTTCTACTGTTTTGTGGCCGTCACGGTCTCGGCCGCTTCTAGTTATTGTTTTTGGTTGTCTCATCCGCTTTTATTGTTTTTGGCCGTCACGGTCTCGTCCGCTTCTACTGGTTTTGGTCGTCACGGTCTCGTCCGCTTCTACTGTTGTTGGCCGTCACGGTCTTGTCCGCTTTACTTTTTTTTGTCGTCACGGTCTCCTCCGCTTCTATTGATTTTGGCTGTCACGGTCTCGTCCGCTTCTACTGTTGTTGGCTCGACCTCGGAACAGGACTTCTAATTTCGAGAAACCTCCACAGGCCAAGTTTGTAACTTTTTCTTCGCAGGTCCTTGTTCCTGATGGGAATAGATATGGGCTTGAGATGTATGGGCATTGTTTTCTAAGAGCCGTCTTGAAACGCACGGGGTGCCCGTTTCCAGTGTTACAAACACTGAGAGAGGACACCTTAAACCTTACTTCATCTTCAAGCCTAGACCACGGAGAAAGTCATCAAAGCCTCGGCCTCGATCGTCAAGCGAGCAGCGGCAACCAGCCGCCAGAGATGGTTCTTCTTTTCAGCTGTCCTGTTTGATTGTTGGAAGACATTGACAAAGTGACACTCGTGCGCAAAGACGGTTCTTCGGCAGTGTCCTTCCCAGATGTCCTTTTCCACTGTTTTCTATATATAGTCTGTCTGTCCTCTAGCTCTATTTCATGTAAAATTTCATGGATAACAGCAGTATTTGCTTGGCCTCCACAATCTCCCACTTGTTTGCGGTCTCACAAATGCGTTTTTTCGGGTCCCGAAAAGCGCCCCCACGCCGTTCCAGGCCCGTGGGAGCCACGCAAAATAAGGGCAAGCCGCGTAAAATAAGAATAAGGATGATCTTGTCTGGAACTGTCCTGGATGCATGCTTTGGAGACCAAAACGCGCATCTAGGTCTGTTTCATGTATCTCGAGGCTTCTCTAAATATTACTGTAAAGATTACTTATTATTCAGTCTTTTGTGGCAAACTGATAGACGGACGTACATGGATTACCTAAAAATGCGTTGTTCGGGCCTTGAAAATCGCACCCAGGAAATTTGAGGCCCCTGGGAGTGAGACAAGAATGAGAATGATCAACAAGCACCGGGGTTGCCTGGAACTGTCCCCAGATGCATTTTTTTGCAGCCCAAACCGCGCGTCTAGGTCTGTTTCATGCTTTCGTAAATGGATGTTGTACTTGGCCTCCAATCTCCTTTTGGTTCAATTTCTTGGGCTTCTCATGGCTTACTCAGTCAAAGGTGGACACACGTGGAATATCTAGATGCGTTTTTCGGGCCCCGAACAAGGCATCCAGGCCGCTTGACCCAGATGCTTTTTTTGGAGCCCAAAACGCGAGTCTAGGCCTTCCAGATTAACGTTCTATTTGGCCTCCGCAATGTCCTTTCTGATCCCATTTCTTCAGCTTCTCACGGCTTCTCTAAGTCTACATACTACGCAATCTTGTGCGGCAAACTGACAGACGGACACACATGAATTATCTAGATGCATTTTTCGGGCACCGAAAATCGCACCCAGGCCATTTGAGGCGCCTCATACGAATCTCCACAATCTCCTTTTTGATCCCACGACTTTGGCTTCTTATGATTTCTCTAACTATTACTCAGGCTTGTGTGTCATGACCCCTCCAGAGCCTAAAACCCTAAACCCTAAACCTAGTAGCAGCAGCACAAGCACCAGCAGCAGCTGCATGCATGGAAGCTTAGGGTCTCCTAGTGTGTGTCAATTTGCCACAAGGTTGAGAATTATTTAGAGAAGCCATGAGAAGCCAAAGAAATGGGACCCAAGCACAACACTTATCTGTGTAATTATACATGAAACAGACCTAGACGCGCGTTTTTGTGATCCAAAACATGCATGTGGGACAGTTCCAGGCACCCCCGCGCTCGTTGATCATTCTCATTGTTATGTCATTTGCAGGGGCCTCAAATGGCCTGGATGCGTATGTGGGGCCCGAGACGGGATGCCATCTCCACGTGCCTGCAAGTGATTGTCTTAGACATCGTTTTTTGTACGCTGTATATGGTGCATCCTCGCTGATGCTACAACTACGTCAACAAGAATGCAGGATTTTGACCTGGCATTTATGGAGCAAGGATGCTCGAGCATGTCTTGAACCCATCAAGTAAGAATGGAACGTCAGATGTCTAGCGGTATGAGCAGATGCCAGTGGAGGCGCGACGTGGTAGGAACAGAGACCTGATCGTAGCTTGAGCATCCCAGCAAAACCGCGCGTGTGTGTGTGTGTGTGTGTGTGTGTGTGTGTGTGGGTGGGTGCGTGCGTGCGTGCGTGCGTGAGCGCGCGTGCGTGCGCCTGCGCGTGCGCGCGCGCGCGCGCGCCTGCGCGTTCGCCTGACTGTGCGTTCTCGCGCTGCGCGCTCGCCTGCGCGCTCGCCTGCGCGCTCGCCTGCGCGCTCGCCTGGCGCGCTCGCCTGCGCGCGCGCGCGCGAGCGCGTGCAAGCGAGTGCGCGGGCGTGCGCGTGTGCGTGACCTGCGCGTGCGATTGCGTCTGCGTTTGCGTTTGCGTTTGTGCGGGCGATGTGGGTGTGAGTGTGGGTGTGGACGCACAGGGGGGAAGGTTGTGAGATAGCGAGTGCTCTCGCGAGGGTTTTGGTGCCTAAGGGGGAGGCTTTAGGGGTTTGCGGTTAACCGCAGATCATCGTCGACATGCTACCAGCATGATCGACGTGGCTCTTTCCACCAATGTCCTGATATCGAGGTTGTCAGTCGACTAGTGGCACAATATCAATCACAATATCGCTTTAAAAGTGGCATGGGCATTGCCTTCGCTGATGTTCCATTCCGTAGCAAGCTTCGGCAAGCTACTGGTAAGAAGATGGAAACATCACTCTACGCCACCTCCTTGCAAAGCATCCCTGGCAAGAATGGGAGCAGCAACAGCCACAACATGACAAGCAGGGAGATGTCAGTTGTCGTATTTGCTAAATGAGTCAAGGCAAGCTCGGGCATGTCGTGCATCATGTGAGTGCTAAAGCACTCGCAGCGAGAGGCGACGCGGACATCGACACAGAGGCAGTTGTCGCAGAGTTCGAGGATACCCAGCCATGTCAAGAATTACCCCCCCCCTTCACCTCCCCCGCACATGCCATTTGAACATGCGCTTCCGTCATCTGTAGGGGTCTTCTACCCGTACAAATTCGACACACATGTCTCCTAGGACAAGATGAAGAAGTCAGTCGGCCTCCTCGAGGACAACCTGCGAACAATCAGAGCTGGAAAGGCTTCCTGGATGTGGAGATGTGGGAACGGGATGGAATGAAGCCAAGCATATGGTCCCTGTACAGCCCACAGGCAACACCTTCTCTGCTGGACAGCGTGAGGGCGCGGCAAGAGCGCAGCGCACTGCACCCACTGCACGTTCTAAGCAGCATTCAAGTGAAAAGGTGAACGCATATGAGACGGTCATGAAGCTCGAAGAGGTTGCGACTGTGACAGCCACAGCCTCGAAGCGTTCGGCCGAAGCTGCTGAGAATTGCGCATCCACCGTGAGCCACCGTGATCCACCCTTGAGGCCGCAGACAGCACCACTCTGATGGTGAATGTCTTCGATGAGACTGTGGTAAGTGCCGTTTTGAAGGCTTGGATTCCTTAGATCGATGAAGGCAGAGAAGCTCTCAGCCTCTGCGGGTCCTTTGGATTTTGGAAAGGCCATCCAGATAGCCGATCTGGGATTCGGGGCATCGGAGACCAACACTGAGTCACCGAGTCACTGAGTGCCAGACCTCACATGTCATCACGTGACCTTCTTTGAACTCTCTCCTTGCCCGAGGATGGGCCAGTCCGTGAAGGCTGGTTCGAGTTCATCTGCAAAGCTCAACGAAGTTCACACGGCCAGAAAGCACAAAACAAAGCCGATCAACGCGCCCCCCCCCCCTCCAGGTCAGCATTCCCCCGCTCACCAAAGAGAAGCGCGCCCAGTACGTGAAGTTGGCCAAGGACTACGCCGAGAAGTCTAAGGCCCCTTCAAATGTCTTTCTTGTGCGGCTGAACGTTGCTTCCTACACTGAAACAAGGTGGCGGTCCGAAATGTTCGCCAACAGGGTATGAAAAAGATCAAGAGCTTCAACAAGAAGCTCCCTGAAGACACAGCCTGGCTCTCCGGTCTGCAGGAGCTGCAGGAGCCCCTTTGCATCCCGCACGACTTAACACTCAGGTGCGTGCCATGGAGCAAGACGTTGAGGCAGCGGTTAAGAAGAGTGTGGCCGACATTGAGGCTCAGCAGCATTCTCTACATAGCTCGCTGGTTTGAAGGTACCAGTATCTGTCAACTGTCCGTTCAAGTTCCCCTGGTGCTTGCAGACAACAGCTGAGGACTCCATGTTCAAGAGCAAAGAGACAGAGCTCAACACTCTGTGATAGCTAGCTCGAGCTTACAGGGACAGAGGACCGAGCCACACGGCTCAAGGTGATCCTACCTCTGCATATGCTTGCTGTATCTACATCTGTGGGCCTGGATGGGTCGGCGTGAGTGCCAGCTGTCACCGCCCCAAGATTCACAGAGACTCCGGCCGAGATTTTCCGAAGTTTTCGCCAAAACAAGCCTCCTTTCGCTGCTTTCCTCCTTCCGGAAGCCCCTGTGTCTTGACGAGTCCTCGATGTAAAACAGATGTCTTAAGTGTAAATGTATTCTGAATATACACATATATATATATATATCACAAGTGGGCTCAGCACAACCGCCAGGTGCTTGCAAACAAGCTCGTCTGAGGACACCTCCTTGCTCGAGGACCTGCGGGGCTTTCAAGGCTTGATACTCTAAGTTGTGTGAACCGGCCTGGGCACGTCAGGACACAGAGCGAATGGTTTCTCCTTCTGAGCGGGCAGGTGCATATGCTTGGTGGCAGGGAGCATGAAAAGGTACACTTGACTCAGTGATGAGGATTGCTCATTTGCAAGTTGGAGCCATGTTGCTGTGCCGCAAGCGGCTACTTCCACGTCTTTCGGCCCTTCGGCACAAGCTGCTCGCAAGCTTGAAGGCACGGAGTGGCTTTTAAAAGGGCACAGGTTCAAGTGTCAACATGGGATGCGGAGCTTCGGCTCCGGTGGCGGCGGAGCCGACACCGGCGCCTCCCAAAGGGAGCTCCGATGCAGATGGCCAGGCTCAGGACACGAACACCGCCAGAACCGCGGAGGCCACCGCGACAGGCGCCGGCGGCGCGGAGAAGGCCACCGAGCAGAAAGAGCCGGAGCCCGAGAGGACGACGATTGCTAGCAAGGAGACCACAATCCTGAGAGTGGGTGCGAATGGGGAGATTCAGCGAAAGCTCTCCACGAAGCCCCTTGCAGAGGTTGATCAGATCATCGTGGTGTATGATCCGCGTTGCATGGCGTGCTATGGCGGGTTGAAGGACATGGTGGCTCGGGACAGTGAGGAATGGAAGAAGACGTCAACCTTCATGCTTATGCCATCCCTCACGTCTTCGCCGGAATGCCTCTTGTGTGCAGAGATGAGCCTCTACTTGGCTGGCCTTGGGATCGGACCAGAGGAAAATCTTCGATGGATTCGCATCGATGATTACCTCCATCACGGCGACAAGATTGTGGTGGCCATGCTGGAGGAGGACAAGTGGTTCTATCCCGCCGAGGAGGCTGAAAGCTTGATGGGCTTCTACAAGCAGGGCACAGTGAAATACACCGAGAAGTACGAAGACCCTGATGAGGAGCCTCCCGAAGAAGAACCGGGCGTCGAGGAGAGCAGCCGGTTTGAAGCAAACCTTTGGTCGGTTCGGGCATGGGTGACGTGTGCTTTCGCGTGCAAGGACTTTGAAGAAGGGTGTGTTTTCGAGCTGAAGGACGAGATGCTGCCAAACCAGATCCTACCCATGCTGTCAGATGCCTCCAAAGGATTGCCTTCACTTGGGCCAGTGCCAAGCACTTTGAAAGCCCCATCGCCCGTCTTTCCCTCCAAATCTTCCCTGGTCTTCGTCACCTTCAGCGAGGCCTCAGCGGAAAAGTACGGCAAGATCTTTAAATCCGTGCAGTTGTGCAACGGCTGGAACTTGGAGGAGCCGGGCCTTCCGGAGGGTTACAGCATCGACGGCTTCAGTCCTCAGGCGGCAGCTCTCCTGACTGACAAAGACAAGGCTTGTCTGACGATTGCCAAGAACACCGCTGATCAGGTCCCAGGCTGGGAGGCCCCGCCAGAGGAGGAGGAGGAAGAGGACGCAGAGGGAGGAGGCCAAAAGGAGGGTGCGGAGCGCAAGAAGTACAAGGAGGAGTTTGGCATCGAAAGCGTGGGGGACCACCTGGACAGCATCTCCAACAAGATCCGCTTTCTGAATGGGACGCCCATGCATGAAGCCTTGGGAGGTATCTTCAAGCCGAGGTTTGATGAGTCCCCGCGCTACCCCGTTTTCCTCATCGAGCCCGAGGATTTTGTCGGCGAGACGGGGGCAGAGACCTACACCACGGTGGTAGAGCGATGCATGTTCCAAACGACGAATGAGTGCATAGCGGTGGTCTTCGGCAGTGACTTCGCGAGCTTTGGCGAGAGCAAGTGGATGCCGCAGGCCACGTCCGTCTTGGTTGACAACACGGACACTGTGATCTTCGCCACGCATGCGGAGGCGGAGCAGGTGGCCAACTTCTTTCAGAAGAGTAGGTACGAAACTGAGGATGTGGGCCTGGCCCTGAGGACCCAGATGAAAGGCAACCCGATGGCCCAATTCCTGACTCTCGCCAGTGCTCTGGGTCAGGAGCTCGAGGACGGAGAGCTCATCGCGCCAGCGATGACCGTCGGCACCCAGCTGACGAATGTGCCGGTGCAGAAGTTCAGTGCCACAAGCCCCGCTTCTCCCTTCTTCTTGACGGATCAAGACTTCAAGCCTTTGACCGAGAGGCTTCTTCCCAGCGTCGATGGCTTCGACGGTGCCACCTTGGTGGTGCCTGCCAAATTGATGCAACGGCTGCTGGGAAGCTTCATCCCCAAGGATGCGGAGTATCCCGGCACGGCGGACTTCTTGGGCGAGGCGTATGGAAACTTGGAGGATGGTGATTTGCACTTCGCCTTCGACGCAGTGAAGGACCTCATAAGCACCTATGAGGAAACATGGAAAGGCACCCAATCCCGGAAGATGGCTGATGCCTGATGGCCTGATTGCTGTGGGATGAGCAAGCAGAGCTGAAACCCAGCTCTGCCCAATATTGCTACACGCTTGCAGGGTCCAACCCTGAAGCCACTGAATCCTTTCGTTTCACAAGCCAGGTGCTTGCTTTGCCCCGCTCAGCGGGTGCAGAGACGCACCGAAAAGGAATGAATTGAGCCGCTCAGGGCAAGATCTGCTAAAACGAAATGCAGTGGCGTCTGTGGCCTCATGCCGTTGTCCAAGTCCAAATGGACCCGCTCGAGCTCTTGCACGCCACTTGCCGAATGCTTGATACTCTTGCCTCAGATCGTAGCGGGCATACTAGATGGTCAAGATGCTATGCGCCCTTCTCCACTGGACTCTGGGTGGGAATGACAGGCAAAAAGGACTCTAGAATCAAGAGAGGCATCAAGATGGAGGCCATGTGTTGCAGAAGAAGTACTTCTGGGGGGACGGGGGGGGAGGGGGGAAGGAGGAGTGAAGGAAGGGACTCATGAGAAGGTTTCGGGGGAGGGCTGGGGAGGCCTCGCGTGCAGCTCTAGGTCACCCTTTCACCGAAAGCTACATACAAGTTGTACCTCGGAAAAGGTGTTGCAGATGAGCCGCAATACTCTAAATTTATGTCTAGCAGACGCCGATGCGGACATGGAAGCGCAAAACTGAGCTTTCAGTTTTTGCTGCTTCCAGAAAGTGTGGACCGAATCCTCAACCAGAAAAACAAACTTGCTGGCGAGCCTCTAGGTCGTTCGTTGCTCGATTAGTTCGAGCACCCAAGTTTTCTGGAAGAATCGCAACACAAGTGCGGAACTCAATGATTTCAAAGAGCGCTCAAATGAGATGCAGTGGCCTCAGGCCATTGTCCAAACAGGCCTGCTCAAGCTCGTGCGTGCGATGTGCCAGATTTTCGATTCTTGGTCGCGGTGGGAGCTGATGCAGCCTTTGACTGGATGGGGCTGGCAGGAGACAGAGAGTTCACAAATCAAGGCCAGACCAAGGTCGAACGCAACTGCCAGTCCCACTACATGTGTAGTATGTTACCGAAGAAACACGGGGGAAAGGGGCGTGGAGAAGGGGGTTGGAAGTGCTTGATGCCTGCCCTGCCTGCAGCCTGCAAGTGGTCGGTGGCTTTGCGCAGCTGTGCCGCCCTCATGCTCACACCGGAAACTGCAAGCGCCGGCAGTTGTGCGCACAATTCACTTGTACCTCCGAACTAGGAGCTTTTGAAAACAAAACGCGTAGTTTGGTGCCGCCGCAGCTGCCCGTGGAGAAGTGACTCCACCATGGCAAGCATGGACCCGACAATCATGAGGCACGTGAGCGCACGAACGAGCCAACTATTGGGCACGCGCCGTGGGAAGGCACCCGGGTTCCTGGAGGTGCGAGAGCCGTATTCCATCAGGCATCAGGCCGGCAGAACACAGCTCTCTTGTTTTTCTGCAAATCAATTGACAATTGAAGACCGACCTCCTGGACAGGCGATGCGGAGCCGGGACGGGTGCCTGGAAGTGAGGCGGGGGAGCAAAGAGAACTTGGGGAAAGGAGAAGAGGTCAAGAGATCTCTCTCCATGTCTCTTCGGTATCCCTCTCTCTCCCACACTCTTTCTTCTCTCTCTATCTCTCTCTCTCTCTCTCTGTCTCTGCCTCTCCCTTTCAAAGCACAGAAACGTGTTTTGAGTCCTTGGCGACAAGCAGGTTGGGATGGCCAGTCCGAATCCAGGACAGCGAGCGATGCTGCCTCGCTCGCACCTCTTGCGGGGCTCGTCGTTCTCCGGCGAAAGCCCAAGGTGTTCAAGGCCGGGACGAGTATGGGCGAGCTCAGCCAAGAAGATTCTGGAAGTTCCATTGCCTTCCCCATGAAGTTTCCCACCGTGTGCTTTTGGGGAGGCGGCGGGCGCCACACCAGAGTTAGCCAACACGGCTTGGTGGCATCGGCCTCAGACCGCCACGAGTTGCCTCGAGCGCACGCCACACACAGCCAGAGGCCAGCGAAACAACTTCGCAAGGTGCGGATCCATGTTGCTTCTTTCAGAGCCATACGGAGCCAAGCCACTGTCATGCATGGCATGTCTTGCGCCCAAAGGACCGGTCCCTCACTGAGACGACAGGAAGCGAAGTTTGCTTCCGACTGCCCGACGCCAGCCCACGCGAGGCTCATTTTGAAGAGCGCTTGTGCGTAGAGCTGCTTTAGGCAAAAAGAGTGTCCAGATGCTGCAGGCCTCGAACTTTGCCTGGGGACTTGCGAAGCCAGGCAGGGACACGATGACACCGAAGAGCTCTGCAGGAGCCGAGGGCAGGGAGTGAGTCCCCGAAAGTCGGACGGACATCTCGTCCGAGCACGTTGCGGGCGACGCTTCAATTCGGGGAAGACAGCCAAAGCCAATGCCCGGCCATGGAGGGTCCGAGCTGAACGAAATGGGCCTTCGGAGTCTGACGGTGTCGGCATTTGGGTGGTGGGGGGGAGCTGGGGGAGGGGGAGGAAGATGCAAGAACAGCGTGGACAATGTGACACCGGTCAACTACCAAAATGATCCTTCGTGGACATGGACGGGCACTGGGTTGAAGGCAGTGCGGTGGCAAATCCCAGAAAACAGCTTCGCCGGAAAACTGCTGGAGCTCACGAAACACGCGGATGATGAGCGACAGAACACAGAAAGCGTAGGGGCACCGGAGCATGAGTAGACTTCAAGAACCTTCACAAGACAGAAGACGGAGAGCGCTCAGCCATCGAGAGGCTAAAAAGCTGAGCGAAAGAGAGTTTTCAGCAGAAGAAGAGCGAAAGAGCCCTGGTAAGCGCCAGGCTTCAGAGGACCGGTGCCCAATGCGGCTTCAGGTCGGCGATGCAGCCAAGCCATCTCCCGCCATCTCCCGCCATCTCTCCTCATTCGCGGATTTCTGGATTCAGCATCACAGTCATTCGGCACGTGCAGGGGCGGCAGGCCGAAAGCTGGAGACCGAATTTGTCGAAGCCCAGCAGATATCAAGCACTAGGCCCATACCCGGCCACACAGAATTGAGCGAGGGGGGGAAGGGGCGATAAACGGAAGACCTGAAGGTGGAGCTTCACGAAGCTGCAGATTCCGGACGAGATTTCTGAAAGGCTCGGGTAATCAGCAACACGACTCCGCGAGCACCGCCTCAATCCCAGGCTTGCTCCATCCCACGCGTCAAAGCCTTCACCACAGTAGACAAGCAACATCGCGCGCTGCCCAGCATGCTGCACATGGTTGCAGGAATGCAGTGCATGCGTCCTGGGCTGAAGCACACTGAAGCCTTCTCATCACTTTGAGCTTCGGAACAAGTCTCTTCACAGAGGTACGAAGTCATGGAAAGACGATGGCCTGCAGGGGGCTTCTGCTAGGAGGACCGTGCAGCCTGTTTTTGGGGCGGTTCCTCGTGCACTTGTCTCCTGAGCCGCTGAGCTGCTGTGCCAGCATAAGATGTGGCTGTCCGCGTTCACTGAACCAAACGTTGTAAGTATTTTGCTTAACGTAAACAAATTTCGAATAACAAAAATGCTCCAAGACATCCTGAAATATACGCACGGGCTGACATGTGACAGCGTCCATCGTGTCACCTGCAGGTTTGGCAGCTCGTGCCTTGTGCATCAACTTTACGCCCCGCGCCTGGAGAGCGAAATGGCGTGCAAAATTCGTCAAAAGCGCCCAAGTCAGTCGTAAAAAGCATTGGCCAGTTTAGGCCACAGGGGCTGTCCAACATGGTCTGGGCACCCACGAAGCCCAAGCATGCAGGCACGATCGGAAGGGGGGGTGGCTCCTTTTCAATCCTTCTCACCTTCCGGAGACTTGCACGCATGCTGCGCACTCTAAAGCAGGTGCTCTACCATTGAGCGCGGGCCTGCACCTCAGCAGAAGATCCCCCCACAAACAAAAAGCGTCCTTTTTGCTCGACTGACGAGCTGAAAGGCGCATGGCAGGCTGCAGAGCAGGCGCAGAACTGATGTGAAGGGGGGGTCTTGATGCGCCTCGTGCACCTCAAAGAAGCAGCTCGCCGATTTTTTCCCTTTCAGATCCATGGGCATCAAGATCAAGGGTTGGTGAACAGCGTCCCGGACCCTACACTATTCACAGCTCCAGCAGTGTTTGCAATTCAGGTCGCTTTGTGCCTTCGCGCATCTGTGCGTTTTACTTTCGCAGTGTGCAGCATGCGGAGGCACGGGCGCCTGGCAAGTTGTAGCTTCTCCATGTTGCACTCACGAGCGGGCAGCTCAGTCTTTATCGACCAAAACTCTGCTCTGCTTGTGTGGTCGAGTTCAGGCGCCACCACCTCGGCCGCCCTTGAGCGGCTGACGAGGCCTGGCGTTGCCTCTGAGATCCCAAAGTCTCGGAGTGCTGGCCTTCTTTGAGGCTTACTCCCCGGTACCCTTGCAACACCTCCTGGACTTCCGCTGCACATGGCTGAGAGTCTTCGAGCACACGGCAGAGTCGGCGGCATGTCTGTGCATTGGAGTTTTGCGCAGCAGGCCTTGCGAGCCAGCGGCCTTCGACCAAGCTTCTGCTTCAACCCATTGCACGCACACTGACACATGCGTCACAGGGTCTTGCAAACGTGTTCACATGTTCTGGCCAGATCGCTGGCGTCGGAGTTGAAAAGGCATGAAAAACCATCTGAACCGTAGCCATCTGGACCAAGCGCTCAGCTTCCACGTGGCTGGGCACATCAGGCTCGCTGGGCAAATCGCCCCCCCAAAAAATCTCTTCACGGTGCCTGCGACAAGGTAGTCCCACGATGCCTCCCTTGCTCATCGTGAGCGCTGCCTTGATCCAGGCACCAAAGAAGCGTTCTCAAATGTTCTCAACACAGGGATGAGCAGCTCAGGAAGCCTTTGGCCGTGTTGTCAGGTCGTGAGTGCCGGCGTGGCATTCGTGAGCCCAGCGGGCCCAGGTCTGGCCCCCAAAACGGCATGTGCCTCAGCGACGCCTGTGCAGCCATCAGTCGGCATGTGTCAGCATATTGCCTCGCGCAGGTCACCACCCCCAGATTGAGAGCCAAAGAAGCATCGGACACCTGGCGACAAGCTTCAAGTGCCTCAATCGCAGCCGCCATCCTCGTGGGAGCCAGCTTCGCCAGAGCAGTCCGAAGCTAAGCATGTGGAGCTTGTCCGACAAAAACCCTCTTTCACCACTCCATTTCGCCTCAAAGCACTGACTGCAAGGTGTCCACGGAACGGGTGGCCTCGTTGTCCATGACAGCCCACCGCAAACCTACCAAGAAAGGGCGAAAGATCTGCGTGATTGAGTGTGTGGAACAGAGGCAGATGGTGAAGGACGGTGTTCCCGGTGCCGGTGGACCTCGTGGAGGCGTGAGCCGGTACTATACGGAGAAGAACGTCCGCAACACGCCAGAGCTCCTTAAGCTCCGCAAGTTCAACAAGTACCTGGGCCGCCACACCCTCCACGTGGAGCTGAAATGAGCCAGTGTCACGCTAAGCCGCATATGCTCCGGACAAGAAGTCGCAGTATAATGCCGTAGGGCGCATTCACATTCTATACATGTAACTCCATGGCGCAAATGCTCTTTCAGCCCGGAGTTCTCGTAGAGGCTCTTTGTGGCTCCAATAGCGTAAGCTGCTACGCGAGGACTATCCAGTGCAGAATGAAATGTCCGATTGACGTACAGCTTCGCGCAAACTTTTGTCACAATGCCGTGCAATGGTAGGTTTCAGGCAGGTCGGCAGCGTTCTTCTCTTTGCTTTTTCGTGCTTTTGGTTCACTGCATCTTTCTCCGCGGTTGTCCGCCGTTGGCTCATAGCAGGGGCTGCATGAGTCCCGCCCCTGCGCACTTGACAGAGACTGGCCAGATGCTTTGGCAGGCACTTGATCTACGTGCTTGCAGTGCAGACCACTGTCCGAGGCTGACGATGCTTCGCCTTGTCGTTTGTGGCCTGGCCACTTTGCAGGCATGGTCAGACAATCAATTCATCAAAGTCCGGGACTGTAGCAGCACAGTCGTGCGTCGGAGGCCGTGAGTGCCGGCGTGGCATTCGTGAGCCCAGCGGGCCCAGGTCTGGCCCCCAAAACGGCATGTGCCTCAGCGACGCCTGTGCAGCCATCAGTCGGCATGTGTCAGCATATTGCCTCGCGCAGGTCACCACCCCCAGATTGAGAGCCAAAGAAGCATCGGACACCTGGCGACAAGCTTCAAGTGCCTCAATCGCAGCCGCCATCCTCGTGGGAGCCAGCTTCGCCAGAGCAGTCCGAAGCTAAGCATGTGGAGCTTGTCCGACAAAAACCCTCTTTCACCACTCCATTTCGCCTCAAAGCACTGACTGCAAGGTGTCCACGGAACGGGTGGCCTCGTTGTCCATGACAGCCCACCGCAAACCTACCAAGAAAGGGCGAAAGATCTGCGTGATTGAGTGTGTGGAACAGAGGCAGATGGTGAAGGACGGTGTTCCCGGTGCCGGTGGACCTCGTGGAGGCGTGAGCCGGTACTATACGGAGAAGAACGTCCGCAACACGCCAGAGCTCCTTAAGCTCCGCAAGTTCAACAAGTACCTGGGCCGCCACACCCTCCACGTGGAGCTGAAATGAGGCAGCAGCTCTGAGGCGGCAGTTCGAGCACACTCGCGTTGACTGCGACATCCAGCATCGAGCACCAAACCGCGACACAAAAAGGCCGACAGTTCACCTTCGACGCAGCTCTCCGCTACTGGCCTCTTCTTCTATTTTTCTTTCTCCTTCTGATTAGCAACTGTGTTTCAACTCCCTCCTGACTCGAGTTGCTGGGCGCTGCACCTCTTGCATCTTTCTTCGGTGAGAGTCGTTTCTTTTCTCTTCTTCTTTAAGGTGGCGTTCTTCCGACTGCCATGGCGGAGGCGGGAACTGAACTGACTGACTGACTTGATATTTCTCTCAACCATTTCGAATTTCAGGGCGTGAGCTTGGTTCAGGTCTGCCAGAGGAAGATCCGGGAATCCAATTCCCAGGACCCAGACGCAGCATCCCAGCGAACTCCACACGCTCCACACACGGTCCCATGCAACATGTTGCCGTCATGTTGGGCGTCTCTGTTCTTCGGTTTTGTCTCAGTTTGCGCGCCGTTTGCGAGAGGACCTTGCCAATGTGCTGCAATCGATTGCCACGGCAGCTGACACTTGGATGCATGGGAATTCCTGCAGAACGCGAGCTCATCGGCGAAACTATCGGGCTTAAGTCCGAATGCTGGATTGAACTAGTCTTGCTGATGCTTTTGGTGCCCATCCTCAGCAGCAGGAGTTGGTCTGTGTGGCCCTTTGCCTCCCTCAGAAGCAGGTGTAAGAGCAGTCACTGCAAACGAGACACGAACTCTCTTGAAGCGCTTTCCCCCTCAATGGGTCCAAGAAGTGTCCCAGAGGCACCCTGAGAGGAAGCAACTCCTTTAGAATTTGGGAAAGATCACCAATATGTGTGTGTGTGTCTTTATATAAATATATATATATATATATATGAATTATATGAACATATAAACGGCCAAACACAACTCCACGGAGCCACACTGCAGGCGGAGACAGGTTGCGGGCGCGCGCTTGATGCACTCGCTGCGGCTGGCCGCTGAGAGTGGTGCAGCTGAGGGGGAGGGAAGTAGAGGGCGAACGTTGAGGACCTCACTTTGCTGCAATACACTCGTCTCTTTGAGGCGGCCAGTTCAATCTCTGCAAGAGGTGGTCGTCTCCTTTGTGCAATTGTCGAATCGATAGTCGGATGAGTTGAAGGTTCTGTCAAACTTTCACCTTTGCGTTGCAGATGTCTGCCTGAGCAAGACGTTCAGAGTTGTCCACACCTTTCTTTGCACACCACGGAGCGTGTCGCTTCTGGACACCATTTTGGGACCTTACCTCCGGAGCAGCAGCATGAGCAATGAGCAGCGCAACATGTAGCAACACACGGCCTGTGGCCTCTTGACCTCCTCCTGCTCCGTGCCGTTCCAGAGGCACCGGGTGGGCATGCACAATGCTCACAATGACTTGCATCGGCTGAGTGCAGCAGGGGGGGAGGGGGGGAGGGGTGGGGGGTGGTTTGTCAGAGTTCTGCATCTGCCCTGCCGGTGCCTTGCAGATCTCGGCCCGGATCCTGCACTGTTTCAGGGGCCCCCTCAATGACATGCAAGGCCTGGGATAGCTGTTGCTGCAATGGACTGCCCCGGCTATTGAGACGCAGGGAGGGCCAGGAAGGCAAGGAGAGGAAGTTGGGCAAAGCCGGCAAAGAGCCGGATGAGTTGACTGGAGTCAACACAGTCAACACGTCCCCCGAGGATTCCAACGAATCCCACACCAGCGGATTTCTCTCGAGGCCCGAAGCCTGCCCGATCGAGGTGCCCTGCTTAGATTACCCTGCTTTTGGAAACTTACCGCCGTTTCTGTGCTCAACTGCATCCTGTGCCGAACCGGCGCGCAATCTCAGCCTATCTCAGCAGCAACAAGTGTGTGCCTCACGGCCTGTCAGTTAAGGTACAGCCACACAACATTGCCCGCTACAGTTTGCCCCAAGAATGCTTGTCCTACATCCCCGAGGAGCGCGGATTGTGCTCCCCCTCTCTCGCTCTCTCTTTATCTCTTCCGCGCTCTGCGAAAGCCTGCGCTGTTCTTGGACAGGAGGAGGCAGTGGTGATGCGCTTCGCCAACGGGGACAAGGAGCGGCTGATCTCCAGCAACGTGGAGCTCTCGAATGAGGAGCTTGCCTGGCTAAAGGCCTTGCGGAAGGAGGCAGAGCGGCAGCAGAAGGCGTTCTTCCCCTCCGTGGCGGTGGCTGCCGTCCGCTTCTTGGGCGATGCCCGGGGAGATGTGGAGCAAGCTCTGAAAGACATGGAGGAGAACCAGCGCTGGCGTGCCTCCTACTTCCCGAAGCCGTTGAGGGACACTGAGCTGCTGCCGGACCTCGCACATGGTGCCGTGTACTTTTGCGGCCGGGACGTTGCGTTGCGACCGGCCCTTGTGATGCGCGCTGGACGAGTGCCCTTCTCCTGGGACCCCCAGCGCTTTGCAAGGCTGTTCGTCTTCTGTGTGGAGTACTTCCTGCGCTACATGGCGGTGCCCGGCAGGGTGGAGAACATTTGTGTCATCATTGACTTGAACGACCTCTCTTATCGTCACATGGCCATTCCTGCCCTCATGGAACTCAAGGATGTTTTCACAAACCAGAATGCCGGGCGTGTCTTCCGCTTCTATGTGTGCAACATGCCTTTCCTGGTTCGGGCGCTGGTGAATGTCGTCGAGGCGGCGATGACAGAAAGAGCCCGGCAGAAGATCTGCTTTGTGAGCGACGTCGCGCAGCTGAAGGATGACTTCGCCTTGAATCAGCTCGAGAAAGACCTTGGCGGCACGCGCGAGCTTGCCGACTCCTTCTTCCCCTTCCCGCTTCCCCCAGGTGCCTCTTTGGTGCCTCTGTACGTCTCTTTTTCGCTTTTTTTTGGGCGTGGGTCAAAGAGTCGCTTCCTGAAAGCATTCTTCAAGCGTATTGGGGCACAAGGTGAGTGACGGTTTGGTCAAAGCATAGTCGGCCTCTGCTAAACCGCTGCTAAGCTGCTTTCTGTGCCGAAGCTTCACAGTCCCCACACTTGTGTCGAAAGCCTCGGGAAATTGGTTGAAAGAAAAAATCGGCGAAGCTGCCGCAAAAAGTAAGACGCACGCTGCTGTGCAGAGCTGAACTTTGGGAGCCCCATCGGTTCCAGCCATGCAGCAAGATGTAGCAAGCTGTAGCCAGATGCAGCGAAATGTAGCCAAACGTCTCTCCGTCTCAACATGATGCTGGTACCCCCCAACCACCCCCCCCCCGCCCCCGAAGCCAGGACCCTTCACAGCTGGGTCTACAGACTCCAACGAGGAAGCTGTGGGCGGCCTCCATCAGATCCTGACGCAAGTTGGGGTGCGTGGCCGATTGTGGGACCCTGCTCAAAGCAGAGAGTCCAATCACCGTGTTGAGTATGCCAGCACAGCTCGAGAGTTCTTGAGGCAGAATGGCCTTGAACACTTGCTGGATGCAGAGCATCGCACGAAGTGTGCAGGGGAGGCCAGAAGACAGCAAGATGAGCCTGTGGACCTCTCACCAGAGGAGGTCTCGCTGCGGTGCATCTTTTCTTGCGAGCCCCTGTTGAAATTAGGTTGTCAGATTCGCAAGTAGTTGTCGGGTGTGCAATTCCGACATGCGGGCCGCCGCCGAAGGCTGCGACCGCTGCAGGACAGAACGACTCATGGTCTCACTCATCTCATTCATCGCGCAATCGCGCAACGACAGCAAGAAAACCCGTTCAGAAAGGAGGGCGAGGCTGTAGGCCACAAAGGACATCATAGGACCAGATGCCAAACGTCTGAAGAGTTGCAACTGGCTCCACCTGAGAGAGGCCAGCATTGCATGTGCCTGCTTCGGGTGGGCCCGGCTCAGTTCCAGTAACGAGAAGGGTCTGCTGAGTGCTGCTGTTCTTGCTTTGTGACCCCCCCCCTTGCGAAAAGCTTGCTCTCAGTGCTTAGCGCCGTCAGAGCAGGAGCATCACCATGCCCGCTAGGACGCCAGCACTGCTAGCACTTAGGAACATACCGCAGACTGCAGCCTGGGAGTCCAGCTACATCAGACATTGAATTCGAATGCACCCATGGATGGCATCCTCGCCTTGTCGCGACCAAGGGCAGCGCAATCATCACAACCGCGCTCGCTGACAAGATGTCGACCACCACGACCGGTGGCAGCTCCTTCCCACGGCGCCTTGGGCAGACGCGGAGCCAAGCGGGAACATCGAGAGAGCTCTGAAGATTCCAGAGCTCCACGCGCTTTCCCCGCCATTGGCCTGGGCCTCGTCAGTGTGGGTCTGGGTGTTGCTGCGAGGCGGGTACCTGCAAAGTACCGAGAAGCAAAGACCTTGCATTGGGCGCCGCGGCAGCTTCACTGTCTGCAAGCGGCTGCGAGCAAAGAGGCGGCAGAGGTGGCTGAGTCCGAGGTGGATGTTGTGGTCATCGGCAGCGGCCTGGCCGGGCTCACATGTGCAGGTGTTCTGGCAGCTGCGGGGAAGTCCGTGACAGTTCTGGAGTCACACTATGTACCTGGTGGTGCCGTCAGCACCCGAGCATGCGCCGGCTGTGATTTCTGTGATTTCTGTGGCCCTGATGTCACGCGGAGAAGCTTATTACCTGAAGATGCGGCATAATGTCATAGAATGTGGCGCTACGTCACTGAGGCGCACACCTTTCGAAGGCGCGTCAAAGGAATTGAAGGGGACTTTTGCTTCGACTCGGGCCCCTCCCTCTACGGAGGACTGAGTGGCGAGCGTGAGGTGCTTACTGAGATTCGCCTCTCCAAGGTTAACGGCACTTTCGCACGCTCTAACGCTCTAAGGAACGTCCTCCCCTCTGAAGCACGTCTACCAGCTACCGGGATGCCGATGAGAGAAACATGAATGTGAGAATAATGAATGTGAAGGAATGTTTGTCTGAAGCTCAAAATGCCGAGGATTGTCGGTGAAGAGCCAGAGTGGATCACCTACGACAGGCCCGCGGATCTTTGAACTATGCGGATCAATACAAGGAAACCTGCCGATTTCGCAGGTGGAATGCCTTCATCCCAGAAGGTGAGGCGAATGCCGCCATCGGCTACGAGGAGTTTGTAACCAAGCTGCTTCCAAGATTCGGAGGGCCAGATGCTGCTCAGCAGTGGGAGAGGCTAATGACACTCGGAATTTGAAAAGCGTCGCCTCTCAATGGAAAGGGAGCTGCAGCACCAAAATGCGCTCCAAAGAAAGATAGCAAAACGTGACATAAATTTGCGTGAGAACTCTCAGAGTACTATGACACAAAGGAAACGGATCATCCCGATGGCGGATGCAATTTGCAACGGGCCTCCACCATCCTTCGTGCGCGAAGACCTTGGCGTGGCCGCCACGCTGGCACGATACCTCACCAAGTTGAGCCTTGGCAGAATCACACAGCTCCCCCTCCCCCCAAACACAAGTACCGAAGTACGGAAGCAGACGACAAGAAAAAGGGATCATTGTGTGGAGTCCACTTCCAGGAAGTCGATTCCAGGGGGCCCGCAGAAGCTGTCGGAGCCCTTCAGCCAGTTCTTAGAAGATGCACAGGTCCTCCCTGGGCGAAAGTCGCCAGCTCTCTCTCTTTGAATGCTGGGGATGAGATGAAGAGGTTACCGATCCCTTCATCAAGAACTGGATGGATATGTTTGCTTTTCTTCTTCAAGGAGCTACACATGATCTGCAGTTGTGGGGGCGCACATGCAGATGAAGACGAATGTCCCACATTGACATGTTGTTGAACTGTTCCGTGACTCCACGTTAACTTGAAGAGGCTTGCCATCTTATGGGGCCCCGACCAGTATGATGGCCGCCTGGCACATTGAAACCGAAACCGCAGCTGTGGGGCAGTTGCTGTATGAAAGAGGCCTACATGATGGGAGATATGTACAAAAAGAACACCTGCTTGGACTTCCCGAAGGGAGGCAATGAAGCCTTGGTGGGCGCTTTGGTTCGAGGCGTGGAGAAGCACGCAGGCTCGGGGCCAAGAGGCTTTAGCAGTTGACAAAACAGCAGAGCCTCTCCAAGCATTGATTTCTATTGCCTTGTCTTGAATATGGGCGTGCCTGTCTGCTTGACCACTGTAGGCCAGGTTCTTTTGAAGGCCCACGTGGAGGAGGTGCTGGTGGAAGGAGGGCGTGCGGCCGGAGTTCGATTGAAAGACGGGCGAATCATCCGGGCTCAGACAATCGTCAGACTGGTCCCCAGTTCTACGGTTTCTCACGATGCTCTAGGAAAAAGTCCCTCCTGATCTCCGACTCGCGTTGGGGCGTTTCCCAGTTGACGGTCTCATGAGGCAACGCGGATTGGCAAATCACCAAGTCCCTGATCAAGCCCGGTTCCGCGCCGGAACTCGAGGAGTACCTGAAGGTCACATGGAAAGAGTATCGTTTGTTGAAGTCCTTCATCCACTTGCACCTCGGCTTTCGGGGTGATGGCCTTCCGACACAACACTGCGAAGAGCTCCTCGGTCTAGTCATGGCACGAATTAGCCGTAGATTCATGGAGCTGTCGAAGCCTTGTAGGAGTGTTGTAAGAGTGTTGTAAGGTTCCCAGCGCAGTGGGGCGTCTTCAACAGCTGGTCCGACTTGGAAGCGCCCCGCAACGCAGTGCTGGTCAGCTGCCCATCAATGCCGCCCAACTGCAAAAGTCGCCCCTTTCTCAGACTAAGCGGCACGCCGGAGCGACGTTTGCATCCCGTTTCTCGCACGTCAAAGGTTAGATCCGGACCTCGCACCTCCTGGGCATCTTGTGTGCAGCGCAGCACCTGTTTGGAGTCCGAGATGTGCTGGTGCTAGTGGGGGAGTCCGATAGGGGGGTGTAACAGGAAAAGCCGGAAACCAGGTAACAGGAACCATGGGCCACTTGTAACAGAGACCTGGAGGGGGGGAGGGGGGAGAGGGAGGGGAGGGACGGAACGTAAATCATTCAGGTCTTTATTCAACGTTCTCGGTGTTTCAAGTTGTATTGAGCTTGTTGTTAGGGCGTTTGGATGTTGAGGCATGGGCATGCAAAACCCAAAAGCCCGAAGTTGAACCCCCCCCGAAGGCCCTGAGCCGGTCATGGAATCATGGGTCGCGCGTGCCCAGGCATCATGTCGTCCATGCCTACACACCGGCGACGGAACCATGGGAAGAGTGGGCTGACCTTGACGAGATCCTTTATTGCATTTTACGGAGTCATATTGACGAGATCAAAGCTTCTCAGCAACAGCATGCTGTGTCATTAGGCGGGCACTGCCTTTATCAATCAGCCAGGAAGAGCAGCGAATACAAGGCGAAGAAGCGGGAAGCACGCGACTTCTTGTATTCTGCCGTAGCAAAGCAAGTACCCGATCTGGAGGAGACTGCTTTGAGTTGGGCTGCTTGGGACTTCGTATGATTGGGGTTTGCTTCCGTTCGCATGCAGGAGCGCGTGGTTCTGGAGCTGGTGGGCACCCCCCGCACGCATCGACGATTCTTGCGAAAGCCAGCTGGCACGTACGGATCTCCGGGGTTCCTGATGTGATCAGGTTATGTGTCTCTGTGTGTGTGTGTGTGTGTTCTTGCTTGCGTTTGGCTTCTGCGTGCCAAGCCGTTGATCAGTGTCCCTGAAGTGCTTGGATGCGTTTGCAGGACTCCGCGTGCAGGCCCCAGAGATGCTGCCTGGGCACAAGACTCCATTGGAAGGCCCTCACACACATGCCTCGCCTCCCTGCCCATGCCTCCCATGCCTCCACGCAGGGGCTGAGTTTTTTTGAGTTTTTCCTTCAGCGGAGGTTTTCACATGTGCGGAGACAGCACAGCCCCGGGCATTGGCGTGCCTGCCGTTGTCATGAGCGGGCACATCTGTGCCAACAATATCCTGTCCGTGCCGGAGCACTGGCAGATTCTTGTGGTCGGCTTAAACGCTTCAGAGTGCAGCATGAACTTGGCATGAACTCTAGGAGTAGGCTGACGCAGACCACTTGCTCGGCTGAGGACAGGATCAAGGATTGGACCACAGAGCTGGAAATCTGATGGCTGGGGATTGGAGGACTGCCTTTGCGACCTCTTGCTCCAATGCCAGCAGAACTCAAAAAGCTTGGCCTTGTCAGATGTCGAGCACCAAGGATGCCATAGGATGCCTGTGGCGTGTTTCTCGCCTGCTTGTCTTTAGCCAGCACAGATGCCCTTGGCTTCTTCAAGTGCCACCCTAAGCACACCACCCTCACACCCACACTACGTACTGAGGTGGACCTGGCAGCATTTGCATCCCTGTCACTACAAAGATTGACAGGGACAAGGGGCATGACACTTCCCGAAGCCCTCCAGGAACTAGCCGCACTAGCCGCACTAGCCTCCCAACTCGCAGCCCTCGAAGCATCCCTCGAAGCATCCTTCGACCCCATGGCACGGAGCGCGACAGCTGCTGCTGTCGAGAAGATCGTGCAAAAGGAGAGCATGTGCCCACGGTCCCAAAAGACGTTAGTCAGCCACAGAGAGGATTAAGACGTTAGGCATAGACAGGTGCTCAGATGGAGATTGTGTGCTGAGAGCGGTGCCGGTTTCTGATGCTCCGGCCTGGAGGCCAATGAGGAAGCGCGGCGCTTGGACGAGACTTCCGTCTTCGTTTTCAAGGTCCAGGCTGCCAGGGCGTTAGGGGGAGATGGGGGGGAGGGATCATGAGCAACAACAGAGATGTCACAGGGATGTCATGCATGTCTTTTGCTTTTTCCAAAAACTACATCAGGCTGCAGCCTGTGGAGTTGTCACATCTTGTCCTCTCGTTTTGGCGGGTCGCCAAATACATAGTGACCGATTCACTGTGGGCCACACATGCCAGCAACGCCGTGACATCACACCTCTCCATTCCCTGCACATTTCCACCTGCCTGTTTTCTAGATTCGCGATTCTAGGCAGCCAGACTTGCCCGAGGATGGGAGTCCTAAGATTTCGCTGTTTGATCAGCACATAGCAGTATGATCCCGAAGTGAACTCAGTCTCACCGTCGTCTGGGCCCTTTCTGCGCTTGGTATTTTGTCAAAATGTGTGCCAGCCCAATGCAAAAGGCCAGCACAAAGGAAGGCTTCTGGAGGAATGGTTCAGAGCGAAGTTTGTCCCACCAAAATGAGGGCATCTGCGCGGAACACTGCAAGAGAGTTCAAAAGTTGCTCCCTCTCAAAAGCGATGGGAGGGGACTATAGAGAGGGTTTGGGAGACCTTTTGGGGACGCCCTGCGCTCTGCTTAGCCTTGCTTCCTTCTGTGGAGGTCGACTCAGTGACCTTCGACGGTGCCCAGCTGAGTCAGACGCGAGGCTTGCGCTTCGTGACCCAGCTGAGAGAACATCAGATAGATCCGACACACTCAAATGCACCCGCAACAGCACCCGCAAACAGCCGACAACGGACTCTTTAAGAAGTGGGCACCTGAGACCAAAAGCTGACACACAAGCTCGCCGAGCCACTGACCCGGCCTGGCGGTACCTTTAAACCGACGTGCTTGTTGGTCATAAACCCCCCGAATCCTGACCAGTAAAGACTCTAAGCATTGTAGGGCTCTGCATGGGTGATGCAACATGACCCAAAGTTGCCATCTTGTTGGGCCATCTGGCCCGAGGTGGCACGGCACGTCAGCGTCGGCAGATACGAGCAGGGTATGAGCAGAGATGAAAGTGGCGGTTTGTTGCGGTCGACTCCTAAGGCCGTGGCTTCGCAGAAGAACCAAAGCCCGAAGTCACACGAAGATCGCCTCTTTCTGACGCCCTCCATCAAGCCCATTGTCGAAGAGCTTCAAGGTGAGGGACGCCAGCAGTGCTCCTTCAGCATACGCTACGAGGTGGACGTAGTCTGGGAAGGCCCGAGCACGAGCCCCCCCCAAAAAAAGAGACAGGAGAGAGACGAAAGCAGAAGCAAGACGTCACAAGACGCGCCCAGAGAAGGCGACGAGAAGTTGGTGCTGAGCGCATTGGAGCCGGGACTCTTCTTCTCCAAGCACGTGGCCAGCTGCGATCTGCCACTGGCACTCTGCTACGAGCAGTTGGTCAGCGCTGCCAAGAACTGCAACCCCACCGAGGTCTCAGGGTGGTTCGCAAAATGTTTAGAAGAGACCTCGACGACGTAGACAAGAACTCATTGATGCACAACAAAGACAAGTGTAAGAAGTGTCAGGTCTTCGGTGGAAGGAGTTGAGAAGTGCGTTTGTCACTGCACGAGGCGGAGGCACTACCCATCGAGCTTGAGCTCGAAAGCCACAAGGGTTTCTGCGGAAGGCGGCCTTGTGTAGCTGGTAGCCTTGCAGTCCTTGTTCATTACTTTCCCTTCAGATGTCCCCCGGGAGGTGCCGCATCTTTGTCCACTGCTGGAAAGAAAACTTGAAAGCCATAGGAGGACGGAGGGCTCTGCGCTCCACTTTCCCAGAAGCACCTCCTGCAGGAGGTGGAGAAGGGGAGGGGAGGGAGGGGGGGCATTTTGAAGAGCAAGTCTTTATAGCTGCCCGCGCAGTAGAAACCCCGACTCTAAACTGTACAGACATTCAGAGAGTCCAAACAAGAGGTACGCACAGAAAGGCACAAAAAGTAAATCATGTTTGAGCTTTGAGGGCAGAGCTCAGCTTGAATTGGCGGAAGGCAAGGAGATCTACTCCGAGGCGCTCAGGCACAAGATGAAGGAGATCCACGACTGCCACAGCCTCAACGAGAAGCTCGAGAAGGCGGGGCGGGGACCCCAAGAGAGAGCGAGAGAGAGAGAGAGAGAGAGAGAGCCCTCACTCCTACCCTCGGCCCTGAACACCGGGGACCGATCTGGACAGTATCAACCAACCACTTGTCCGTCGCCAGAGCGAGAGAGTGTGACTCGGGGGAACAAGCTTAGCATGGACGACTGACATTTGCGGTCGACGGAGTCGCGCGGGCGCACCCGCCGCGCCCGTAGGGTCCACGGGCTCCCCCAAGCCCTGAAGAAGATGCTCACGGACAAGAATAGACATTGGTACGTCATGCTCGCCGGACGGAATGGGGAGGGGATGGAGCCCGCGTGCCCCCCTCCTTGGGGCCACCCTTTCTACAATTCGGGGAGGAAGAGAGACTGAACACGGGCGAGCATTGCGCGCTGTGTCCTTGGACGTGGCACAGCCATCGGGGCCATTCCCCGCATTCCCTCAGGAGGGCTCTGCCTCGCTTGGCACCAGGACGTCCCATGAAAGAAGGAAAGTTGTGCTCACAGTAGGGCCGGCGTGCACTCATGCAAGCGGAATTGTCCAACAACGATACTGTGAGTATATAACCCTTTAAATGGGCCCGACAGCATTCGGGTGCGCGACTGCGCAGGGGGGGGTTAGGGACGTGTTAGGGGAGGGGGGGGGGTTATTTTTAACGCTACGCAACCCTCCTCGGCCGTCACCTTCTGTAACAATGCAACCCAAACCAGGGGGCTGGGGGCACGTGGAGTGCCCCCTGCACCGTTTGCTCCCGGACACAAAATGCAAAAGAAAGGGTGGGGTGCCTGCTACCTAGACACCTACGGCCCAAGGCCTCGGCGGATTAGAGGGTTTTCGGTCCGCGACACAAAACCAGCAAGGGGATCAGGGGGAAGAGAGGCGTTTGTTGCTCCCCTCTGAGGCGAGATAGAGACAAAAGGGCGGCTCCCCTCTGGGGGGCCTAGCGCTTGGAGAGACACAGAGAGAGAAAGAAGAGAGAGAGAGTCCTATTTTAGTCCTATTTTAGAGGCTCTCCCCCTTCGTTTTTTTTGCTTCTGTGCTTCAAAAAAAAAGATTGGCTCTCTCTCTCTCTCTCTCTTTCTCCGGTTTTTTGCTTCGAGAGACCCCTGACCCCCCTAAACCGGCTAAACCCGCTAAAGCCGCGAGGCCCAGGCCGACCTGTGGCTGCAGGGCATCAAGCGGCTGACGGAGGAAGGCCTCTGCCTCTGCCATCTTCCTGCCCCTCTTTGCTCTCTCTTCTCTCAGCCCCCCTATTAAACAAGAAGCTGATTCAAAAAGGTGTTCATGGAGTTTAGGGTGTAGGGGCTATGGGGATATGGATAGTTGTGGGAAGGTTTTGTGATGCCCTTCCCTCAAGAGAAAGCCAATTATTGGGTAGAACTGCAAAAGGGCTGTCGCTATGAAATGTTGAAAAGTCGGCGCAATGTGTCCCAATTGCGGCCAGAATGTGGCAGTTCTTACCAGCCGCGTATCCGAAGGCGCCCTGGACAGCAAGACCCTGAACTTGGCACAGACCTGCGGCCTGGTCTCGGCGGAGAGGGCCGACATCTTGAGGAGCACCAAACTGTGTCGGGAGTTTTGTATTTTCTTCCCCGCTGCCCCGGGCCCCCCCTCCCCCGCTGCACAAGTGTGACGGAAGTGCTGTGATCAGCATCAACGCTGTTCTTGGAAGGCAGGAAAAGAACACGCCCCCGAAGCTCGCGGCCAGGCTGGATGGCCAAAGTCGGTCCGAACTCATCAGAACATATCAGAACTAAGCATCAGATGGACAGCATGAGCCCAAATCTTGCGGAGGAGTGGTTCCTTCACCGCTGTGGAGCGCAATTGTGGGACATGGCTTCGGCTAACCACTGCATAGCGGCCCCCAAGGTGGCCAGGGAGACATTTTCGAGTGTTTCACACTTCAACACACTTCATTTTCGGAAGCGGGTCATGTGTGTACAGGAGACATTCCTTTCGCCCGCAAGACCCCTCGTCGAAGCACTGGCATCGGTCGAAATTAAGTTTCGGCCGCCCGGCCAGCTTCTAGTGGCTAGCGCTCACCTCATTAAAGGAGCGACAAAGTGCGCCTCGATGCACTGGAAGATTCGCATTCGTCACATCCGTGGCACATTGTCCAGCTAGCCTCGCGGTCCAATCGGGGCGATGTTTCCAGGAACTCGGCGCAAGACTTCAGGGAAAAGGCATGTAGAGTGCGGCTGCACGCCATGTGCTGTTGCAGTCTCCTTGCATCCCTGTCCCTTCTTCTGGTTTTTCCTGAACTTGTGAGTTACAACACACAGCACATGGTGACCTCTTGACAGTTGAGACCCTTCTAGCAGCGTCCTAATACTTTGGTGCTTTATTTATTTGCAGCCGTTGGGAGAGGGCGGGGCGGTCTCTGTGCTCTCGCGGCAGAAATGCCTCAGCAGATGGCCCTGCCGAAACGCCGACCAGGCTCACGATCTCTGTGTGGCTCTTGGCGCGTCTGGGGGGGGCGGGGGGGTTTGCTAGGCTAGTAGCTCTTTCGCGCAAGCTTCTGTCCTCCAAAGCTCTTTTCCTCTAAGGATGTGTGTGTTTGGGGGGGAGACGGAGTTCTCTCTGGTAGCAGAGAGGTGCCTTGGCGCTGGTCGCGCTGGTCGCGGGCCTGGGCCTGGCCGGCCGCCTCGGACTGGGCTTTGCCGGGACTTTGACGAGGAAGCTCGGACAGATCTCTTTGGGGGCAGCTCTCTTTTGAGGGCTCTTCTTGTCACTGTGTTTTCTTTAGCTCAGGACCAGGTCCACCGCCGAGTCGCACTTGGGCTCCAGAACTTTCAGAACCTCCCGGCATGTCGGCGATGGCTTTGACGGGCTTGCAGGCACAGCCGCAGGCACGGAACAGTACTCAGCTCCAGTGTGGGCTCAGATTGAGATTCCACACTTACACCCCTCGTTCTCTGCTTGGTTTCAAGAAAAGCATACGCGATTTGAATGCACCCCTTTGGTTGTCTTGTGCTCGTCTCAGGCGTCATGGAGTCCATGGCTTCCATGGCTTCCGTGGATCAGATGGATCAGTCTTCTTTGCTCGCATCCTTTGCGGATCAAGCTGGAAACATCAACGGAGTGCTGTTCCAGGGCTCCTTGCCGGCGTACTTGCTGTTCCTGTACTTCTTGGGCTACCGTGGGAACAACACCCCGCCCTTGACGTTTTTTGGATTCGCGTTCTTGCTGGTTTTCGTGTTCTTGACGATCCCAGCAGGAATCATCTCCAAGAGCAGCTATGGCTTGATCCTAGCCGATTCAGACTGGATCCACGGGAGTGCGGAGTCATTGCTGACTTGCACCAACATCATGATCGTTCTGGGGTTCCGCAGTGCCCTCACGGGAAACGCAGAACTGGCAGACAATGAGACCGTGAGAAACATCGCCTTCGGATGGATGGCCGCTGTGATTCTCACCCTGGCGGCCGGCATCCCCATCTTCGGCTTCGAGGCACATACGGCCTTCCTCTCAGGCATCGGGGCACTGGACTTCGACCAAGCGGAGCCGGTCAACGCTCTGTCAATCCCAAACTGGATGGTGCATTGGTCCACTGTCTTCGAGTTCCTCCTCGCCATGTCATTGGCGTGGCGCTACGCCGATGCGATGGGAAACCCGAAGTGGAAAGGCCTCACCTGGGGAATGCTCCCCTCTAGCATCTCCAGCGTTTGTGCACTCACCTTCCACATCTTTTACAACCAGATCCCTTGGATTCTTACTGGGCAGGCTCTCTTCACTTTCATCGGCAATGCCACATTGGCCTTGGCCGCCTATCGCATTGCCGTGTCGAACGGCTGGACAATCGGGGAGCTCAACCCGCTTAGGATGTTTGACAAGAAGGAGGGTGAGGAGGAGCCAAGCTTTGACATAGCCAAGGTGTCACCGGAAGGGGCCAAGGAGTTGATGTCTGGTCCCCTCTTGGTTGCGGAGGTCATCCTTTTGACGGTGGCTTTTGCCTATGGAACCAAGTACGGTGAGCTTGCGGTTGGATCCAGCATCTTCCAGTCTCCGGAATCGAGCGCAGCAGCCGCAGCTGTCATCGCGATCCCTGTGCTCCTCGTGGCCTACGTCATTTACAGCCAGAGCTCCGACCTCCAAAGCGGGCAGCTGCCACCCCTTGCCCTGGCGCCATCGGCAGCTCCTTGGCGCTCTAGTCGTTCTAGTCGTTCTACACGAGTCTACAGAATTCTACACTGCAAAATCTGTTCTTCTGCCCCCCCCCCCCCCCCATTTTTCCTGTTTGCCTTTGTGCCTGATCTGTCCAAAACCCGGAACCTAGTCCTCTCGCGGGCTCGTGCACAGGGCATTGTGGCAGTTGCAGGCTACGCCTACGGACTCCTTGGAGGGGCTGGATGGGTCCTGTCGGCGTGGTTTGCTTGGGGGTGGCCCTTGTCGAGCGTTTGTTGCGCCCTTTGCGTCCGTCGGCATGCATGAAACAAGGGCCAAAGCGCACGCGGCAGTACCACATTACACTCCAACACGCACGGATTGCCGATTTCACACAACTCTCTGTAACAGAAATGCTGCCGTTCTACTTCAGGCGAAGGCTGCAGTCAATGTCTGTAACTGGTGATGGTGATGCCCTTTGACTGTTTACTTGTTATCGAAGAACGTGGCAACTGTCAGCTTGCCTCGACTAACAAACTGAAAGAAAGGAAGCGGAGTAGGGCCGTGGTGTGTTCGTTTATGAAAGAACGAGATGGGCCCAGGATCCCTTGCAAGAGTTGCCGTCCGTGTCAAATTGAGGCTGTCGCATATATGAAACAAGGAAGGGTGCACGGGCAGCAAGTGCCCTCCATTGCATCAGTCAGACAGTAGGGATTCAATAGGGGGCACGAAACACCCCCTGCCAGGCTTGCAAACATGAACAAGAGCTTAAACCACAAAGTGATTAGCTGTCGGTTCCCTCGTGGAAGTCTCTGCCCGTGAGCTAGACAAAGGGTCCCCTCGCCCCGCGCCCTTCTTGACCCTCGCCCATACCTCCTGTCCAAGGCCAAGGACAAATAGCTGGGCGGCGCGTCTGCTTCAAAGGCTTGAAAAAAGGCCGTGTGCAGCTGGGGCTGTGTGCTCAAGAGGAGTTGCTTAGTGGCCTGACATGAGGTGCCATCGTATCAGTGCCATTGCATGAAACTGGCACCCACTTCTGCCAGGAAGAGTGCCTCAGTGAGGCAAAGGGCAGGTCGTCGTGCACGCAAGTCTGCCGGTGGGACAAAAGAACCCCATCGAAAAACAGAGAGATTTGCTTCCGCTGGGAGATTGACAGCTTGACACTCCTCTTCGATTGAGCCTCTTGGATCATGCATGCCTCCTGGATTCTTCTCTGTGATTCTCTGAGGCTTCAGCTGCCAAGGCCTGGCGAACATTTCCCGGCCTCTGAGTGTGCCCCGTCCTGAGGGTTCTCTCCGATGTCACGTGGGGGAAAGCTTCTCCTTGAGAAAAGGAGAGCTGCTGCCATCTTCCAACGTTAGTTCTACAGTGCAAGGCGCCACTGTGTTCAGGTCAACCTACCGGGATATGCTACCAATGCATTGGACAGCATCTGCGATGGTGAGAGCCCTGCAACGCGTTTTCACATGTGAATGCCGCTTGTTGGAGTGGCTAGCTGCCATCTGAGGCCGGCAGGGAATCCAAATTCAACACGCAGGAACTTTGCAACGTCTCGGCCCCAGTTGGAGGTTTAGATCCAAAAGCCGGGTCTCGCTTCACTCCAAGCGGCCAAGAACGGAGCTCCAGGTCACCTGACCATTCGGAACACTGAAAGCCGTGCAGAAGCCACCACTGCAGACTGCAAGGGGCGCCCAGAGATATGCACAGAAACAAGGGCTCTTTTTCCTCATCTGCAAATGTAAAGAAGAGGTTGCTCAGCCCTGGGGAAAGGTTGGCGACGCTGGCCGCCAGCACCTGCCAGGACCTCAGAACGAGTCTACAGAGAGGCTTGTTTGGAGAGTCTTGTCTTTGCCCTCCCCCCCCCCCCCGCGATCCTCCGATCTTCCGAGGCCCGGACTTCTAGCCGTGGACATGGCCAACATGGCGTGGGCGCTGGTGAGCGCCGGGACCTCACTCCAAGCCGAACGTGACACAGAGAGCTGCTTGTCTCATCGTCTTCACGCCTTTGGGAAAACGCTTTGTTCTTCTGCAAGAGTGTTTTGGAGAGTCTTGTGCGTGAGAGTCTTATGCGTGTCTCGGCCTTTAGAGGCCGAGTGGTTGGGCGAGCTGCCGGCTCGGAACCCAGAACTGAGTGCACAAGATGCTAGCGTAAGTTCTGCCCACATCTCCCATTCTGAATTCTCTGTGCATGTCACTCTTCTGACACCTCTTCTGCTAATCTCAACGAATTTGTCAGATCCACACTGCTGCAGAGAAGGCGCAGCAGAGGCACCCTGTAAGTTGCAGAGTGCCGTGGCCCCGTGGCAAAGTCGCCATCCAAACCTTCGCTCTGCGAAGGTTCTTGGACTGGTGTTGCGCGTCCAGAGCTGAGAGATCTTCTACCAACACGCGCTTTAAGACTCCTGGGCTCCACTTATTTTCACTCTCGGGCGCACGTGTCGGATCTCTCAGTCAAGATGGAATGGCCACTGGCTGCCAATTGAGCTTGTGCGCAGCCTTGAAAAAATGCATCAAGGCCGGAGGATCGGAATGCTGTGGTCGGCATCCCTCTTGATTTCCTTGGCACGACAGATGCCTCGTACTCTGTCAAGCCAGGTGAACGTTCTAGCCGTGGTGGAGGCAGTGGGCACCACGCGACTGGCGGATTTCAAGGAACTGTGGGAGACTGGAGACTTGCCATTAGCAGAAAGGGTGCAGAACTGGGAGGAGTCTCTTGTACTGGCTGCGACGGAAGCACTTCGCACCAGAGGGCAAGCGATGGACAAGAACCACGAGGTGCTCAACCAGTGCTTAATCTGTGCAACCATATGCCGTTTGAGATTTTGTGTAGTGCAGAGTAAGCATGAGATGCTGACGTGCAAGTTGGAACGAGGAGCAGCCTTTGCAGCCCGAGCTTCTCGTGACACTGGCAGAGCTGCGCTCCCTGCTCCAAGCACTGTTCGGAGAATTCACCAGCGCAAGATCCTCACCGGAGGTTGGAGCGCAGCTCGGCAAAGGAGCCTTGGCCTCAGGCGCATTGGGTAAGCTATCGGTAAGCTCTTGGAGTAGTCTTTGGATGGTCTTTGCGGGTCGTGACAGCTCGGGCCTCAGCAGAAGTGCGAGCCCGATGAGCGTATGCCCAGTACCAGCAAAAAGCATCCAGTGGCCGTGCAAGCATGGCGCCGTTGCCGAAACGGGTTCAGGACATCCTGCAGAAAGGAAAAGCTTTCGGCACAGTCTCTTTCACAGAAGCCTTGATTCAGCTGTTGTTGGAAGCAGCCACGGGACTCACACGGAAGCGCGATGATGGACGAAAGCTACCTGAGCGGTTTCGTCAACATCCGACAGCGTGCCCATGACATCACAATCTCAGAATCGCGTGAACTCTCCGACAGAGAAATGAGTCATTGGTACAATTTAGACTATTCTTCGCCTTCTCGCAAGCAGCCAGAAGTGATTCTGAACTTAAAGCCGAGAGACAGCGTACACAAAAACCACTGAGGCCAAGAGTCCTGGCACGAGTTCCTGGGCTTTATGCCATCGGCCAAGCAGTGCCAAGCAGTGCTCAGCTCGAACTCAATATGGGGTTCTCGATGAGATCTTCCATCTCGAGGTGCTCTGGAAACCTGCGGGTTGGTCTGCGGCACTTGGAGATGAGCCAATGCCCTGGAGAGAAACATCAGAAGGTGCAGAGCATGGTGCCATGCTGCGGGCCAGGTCCAGCTCCGACAAAGACTTCGCACTGCGACATTGGCTGCAACGGCACTTCGGCAGGTCTTCTGCCCCTTTGGATCGCATGTTGCTCCGCACAGTGCCTTGCACGTTGCTGTGCAAATTAGTTCACATTTCTGTGTGCACTGCCACCGCGTGCTATCTGATCTGAGCCGATGGTTCTGCAGTTCTACATGTTTCCGCTTCAGCTGCCTGCCAGGACCGCGCCGATCGCCTATGATGCAGGCCCGGAAATATCATTGTTGCAATCATGCGCGTGGTTAGCTGAAATTCCTCTCCAGAATTCTGCAGGAATTGTCGGAATTCATAATGAGCTGACTTCGTCTCCGCAGGTGAGACATATGGACTGGTGCACAGACTGGATCGCAACTTCGGCTGATAAAACATCTCTACATTCATCCACATGCTGAGCGGTGCTTGGCGGCACGCTTGCCTTGCACTCTTGTGATGGCTCTTCTCCCAGGTTTTACATCTGGTCCGTTGCTCTGGGCCCCGTGCACATGGCTTGGACTCCGCAGCACATTCTGACCATCATCAAGTGCAATGAAACAAGGCTATGCCGGACTCTATGAAGCGAGACTGCAGTCGGACCCTGGTTCGAGAGCATGATTGAAATTGCTTCGCTTAAACATCTGAGCCACAGATGGGACATGCCACAATGCACCACAAGTCTTCCACGTTCTTCAGGTTTGCGGCTCGTCAGGCCAGCTGGCAGATGGCAGACCCTGCCACAGCTCATCTTTGACCCTCATCCTGGCAGGTCTGCAAAGAGTATCTGTGCATAGGCCAAGGCACCCATGCTCTACGTAGTCTACATGTGAAGCAAAACATTTTGGTTGGTCATACCCCAGCAGAGTGTCAGGTGTGCTCGACCGGGACTCAATGCCTCTTCATCTGCAGGTTGCTCAAGCTCGCCTAGTTCTGTCAGTAGTTGTTCCGAGTTACTGATCCAGAACATGCAGAACTCTGCCACATGCCAGGCTCCTTTGTTGGAGGAGTCCGTTGGAGAGTGCCTTCCTCAGCAAAGAGCCGCAAGGGCGGCAAGCGGTGCATGCAGAACTCTCCCAATTCGGTGCTGGCAGGGCCTCCACCTCGTTTTTCACTAGAGCCACTGGAGTCACGAGAGGCTGCTGCTGGCCAGAAGTCGCGTTTCTGATTCCGGGAAGCCCGCCCACACAGAAGCGCGGGCCTTGTGCATGTAACATCATATTGCCCAGTACCGGCTACCTGCTTCGCTGCCAATGCGAGGTTTGCCAGGCGGTGGTTTTGAGCGGACCTGACGGGGAATGGTACACGCTGATGCAGGCAACGGTCAGCATAAGATGACACACCGCTTTCTTGGCAAGATTTCTTGCAAGGTGCGCCTTCACACAGGAGCGCAGCAAAAAGGCAAAAGATAAGCTAAAGGGAAGTTGTCTCAAATTGTCTCGGAGTCTCGATGCTGCAAAGGACGCACGCATCAAATACGATGCCACCTGAGTCACGAGGTCGAGTTAATCCGAGTTACTCCTCTGTTTGTTGTGAACTGCATGGTGCTCAATATCCTTGCAAGGGGCACCCGCTTCTCGGGGATCCGGTCTACGGCGGTCCGACGCCGGACTGGTCCGAGAGGCTTTCGCAAGAGTAGCACGAGCCCCGTATTATCCCGTATTGACATCCGCATGTCAAACAATCTCTGCCCGCAACAAAGCGATTCCTCGCAGGTGCCCCTGTCATAGCTGTCCCCTGCTGTGTCCATCTAGTTTGTTCATCCGGCAGGCACTGGCTGCACGCCTGGCCCCCAAGAGTTCAAAATGTTGCTCTGTTGTGGCTCCGTGGGTTTTTGTGACTTGTTGAGTGATGTGAAGTAAATTATTTAAATGGCACTCAGAGCAACGGCCCCTTTGCGCATTCGAGGCCTGGAGGCTGAAGCTGAACATCAGCTCTGGAGAGATCGACCTCCAGGCACGAAGCTTTCGAATTGAGAGTCTCTGAGAGGTTGTGTTGTGAAGCGCGGGGCTTCGCTTCTAATTTCAAAGGTGCCGGTGCCCGAGGACCTCAAGGAGGTGCTTCGGAGGCCCTAGATGACCTGCGAGAGGTTCTCCAAAGCTGAGTTCAGTTCTGCACCCCGACTCTTCGAGGCTGCGGCCTGCGAATGCCCAAGAAGCCCACAAGCCCACGCCTCGAGAAGCCTGTTGAACTGTTGATGA